CCGTCAGCAAAAAGAGACAGGGCCCTGCCCGCGGCGGCGCCGAGGCGGGAGCTCTCGCTGGGCTCCTCTTCCCATCTGGGCTCCGGCGCTGGAAATCGTCTTGTCGGTGTGTGTCCGCTGCTGCTGCCCGCGGCGCGCCGCGCCTCCGGGGAGGGTCCTCCTGCGGGTTCTGTGTGAAACACGCAGTTGGAGGCCGCAGTTACATCTGCTCTTCAGTTTCTCGTTTCAGGCTCAAAATAAGCTCTGTCAGCCATCAGAGGGCCATTGCAGGGTCCAGTACCAAGACGCAAGCAGTTTCCAGTGGGGGAGGCTCTTTAAAATCATGCAATTATGCAAACCTTTATTTTAAAAATAACAATTCGTAGAATATATGTATAAGAAAAGAATGCATAAATGGACGATAGCTTCCCTTAAGTTATTAAATAGCTGTACAAGAGGTTGTCCATAAAGTGTTAGAAAAGGAGGAAGTAAAGTGCATACAGTGCAGTGGACAGTTAAGTAATTTTCCAGATCCTGACAGCAAACTATTTGTCATGAAATCAGATGTCTCCTGGCAAGGCTTAGAAAGCTGCCAACATTGAAATCAACACAAACAGTTGAGCTGCTAATAAAATTGCTGCTTTAGTAATGCTGTTCAGCGTCTCTTCAGAACCCTGCAGGACATAAAGAATTTGTCTTAAGGGGAAAGGCTGTTTCAAATCTTGCATAAAATTGGGTTGATGCCTGCATGTAGTCTTTATAAAAAGGCGCCTTGCAGGTCAGAAAACCTCAACTGTAAAATAATAATTATTCCCCTATGTTTGAGCTCAGGTCATATGAAATAACAGTTGATATTGAAAGATTAATACATTAACTCGTAAAGGTTCTGTTTTGAAACTTAGTTCAGAAATAAATTATTGCATATATTTAGTCATCTGGTCTCACTCCTGCTCTTTGATAGTGCTCTTTTCGTTCAGTTTACATGTCCAAGGAGGAGGCACTTCAATCACTTTTAAAAGGTATCTGGTTTTGTGGGCTGATACGTCATTGTGGCAAAAAAAGTGGTGATGTACAAAGGCTTAATATTTACAAGCCCTATTCCAAATGAGGTAATAGACTGATGTGGCTGATGTTTGATAGAAATGTAAGGTAGGATGACAAAGATGGTCTGCCTCTGCAACAACTATTTTTCTTAACTGACAGAACAGAATTTCACAGGTTTGGTTTGGTTTTTTATCTTTAGGAAGTGGCTTGCTGGTACGAGCCTCTCCTGTGCTGAATATCATTAACTACAGAAGCTGCTCAGTCTCCTTGACAGTAAACAAGACTTTGTTTAATGCACTCTCAGAGCCTGTGAAATCTTGCTTGGACTAGAAGGTCAGCCAGTCTCTGGCAGGTGGTGAACAGCGTGAACAAGTTAGTTCAAGGTGGTTACAGAGACCTGCTTGTTGTGAAAGGAAAACTGCCTTTTTACTCTTTTGACTTTGCAGGGTTTTTTAAATCATAAACATTGAGAAAGTATTAGTGCTTTTCAGTTTTAAGTATTTGGTAGCTATTAATGGAGCTATTCTCATCAAATGTCAGTAGATGTGGAAAGTAATGGAGTCTACTGTGTAGGTAGAATCTTAATTGTACTTCCTTCTTCCAAGGTCAGAGGGGAAGTGTATTAGGCTTCTGTTCACATGGAGTTGACTTGAGTATTGTCCTTTGTGTGTCGTGGCTGCATGTACAAAGTGGTAGCTTAAGTTAGCACAGCTTGTGGGTTTTGTAGTGTAGCTCCTGCTATTCTAGTTAAATAAAAAAGATTCTTCAAATTAAAATATACTTTACAGCGGAGAGGGAAGCAAGGTTTGGATCCTTCTTCAGTTCCTAATGCCGTACAAGAAACCTGAATGTATGCTACTGGAAGTACAGAGTATATAATGCTACAGCTAGTTTACTAATAATGCCTTTTAAACTTATTGTCTTAAATAGTTTGTACATCTCCTGTGCAGCACATGAAGATACGGAATCACTGTACTTTCTGACTTTCTTTAAACCAGAATGTATAACTGCTGTATCTTACTGCTCTGTAAAATCAGAACACAGTGCCAAGAGTTATGATCACATAAGGAATTTGCTATGTTGTCTGATTTTGAGAAGATGACATAGCAGTAAAAGAGCTTAAAAGCAATACCAGTGTCACACTAACAGTGGGCTTTTGAGTTAGGTTAATTTCTGGTACTTTTAAGTCATCAAGAAGAATGAGAACTCTTTTATTTCCTATTATGGAAGAACTGAAAAATGACTTGTCAATTTTCCATGATCACTGACTTTGCAGATAATAACCTTGTAATCCTCAGTGATGATGGAGATAAATATAATAAATTCCCTTGATTTTAAATGGGAATATAAAATTCTACCCTGAAGTGGCCGTCCTGTTTTACTGCACTGACGTTTCTTGGATGCTTCACAATTTAAGTCATGTCCATGTCAGAAAACTTTTCATAAGTTTTTTCCTAATCCTTTCAGGTGATGCAGGACATTTTTATTTATTCCTCTCTTTAACAGGGCTCAGACCATCATGAAGGCTCGTTTGAAAGGAGCCCAAACAGGTCGTAATCTCTTAAAGAAAAAATCTGATGCTTTGACACTCCGATTTAGGCAGATCCTTAAGAAAATTATTGAGGTAGGTAAATTAGAATTTTCCTTTGTTTGGCTCACTTTATTTGTGCATTCCTGTTCTGCTAACTTCATTAAGTAGGCTGGAATGTAGGACAACTTTGTGGATAACCTGTTTTTGTAAATGAGGCTGCTGAGGACAGATGAGCAGAATTATGTTTTTCTGACTGCAGTGATACATAAATTTTGTAAGAGTTAATATTCTTCACCTCTTTCCAGCCAGTCCTAGGCTCTGCTTTCTTTTGTGTCCGAAGTTCCTCATCATCTCTACTACATTACAGGGAATTTGCTCTGATGCTGCCAGATACTTTAGGAGTGGATTGAACATGTTCTGTAGACCCATTTTTGTTGCTTTATCTGGCTTGAGAGGATACTGCATATCTATGATGTTTCCATTATGATGTTTACCACTCCTAGGTACACTAGAAAGCAGTTTTGTCCAGATGGAACTTGTTCCTTTATGAAGAAACACCGAGTTCTGCTTCTTCCTTTGCAATATGAATGACAAATCGAAGATACTCCATAGAGCCTAATAGGGCTTCTGCTGTTCTACCATACTAGATGGGTTTTAGTTCTACTGTTTTGGCTGTGACAGCTGCAGTCCATGGTTAGCAGTAGGTCTTTGTTGCCATGCTGTAGACAAGCTCTTGGCACTCTGGGTCTTGTTTCCTATATAGACTAATACACAAAGGCTGTTGCTTCTTAGTAGCATGTTTTTTAGCTACAAGGGCTTCAAAAGCATAAACACTGGGAAAAAAATGGAGTAGGAGAGTGCAGCTTCACAAAGCTGCATATGTTGAAGAACAACTTCATCTGTCTCGTAGTATTCAGTACAATATGAAGTAGAGTGTTTTCCTGCTGAGCCATTTTATGGTTGTGATTTAACCCCCATGTAGTAGAAGCTTATGATTATTAAGACAGACACATTTTTTGCCGTTTTTGTGAGTTCTACACTGGGTCAGTCAAACAGCTGAAATGTTTCTTTTTTTTTTGCCAGTCACTTGGGAACTACGATTTGCAGTTTGAGAGTAAGCTACACATACAGGACTTTCTCCCTCTTTTAAATCTCATTCTCTTTATGCTGTTATTTATCCTGGAAAAGGAGTAATGATGTGCCTTGTATTTGCTGCCTCTTTTTGGTTTTTAAACAGACTAAAATGCTGATGGGTGAGGTGATGAGAGAAGCTGCCTTTTCACTTGCTGAGGCAAAGTTTACAGCAGGAGATTTCAGGTGAGGAGTGCTGATCTTGTCAGATGTCCTACCCATGAGAAAGAATGATCAATAAATTGTTACGTGTCTCTTTTGGAAAAAAAAATAATTCTTAAATGCACTTTAAAAAGAAAAAAAAATGAAGTCGGATAGGATGAACTGAATTCCATTAGGTAAAGGTGGGCGACATCACTGCAGGAGAGAGATAATATGCATGATGAAAATGTATACTCCATTGGAAGCTAAACAAAGCAGAAAGATTAACAGAATTTACTTTATGTACAAATCCTTGATTGGAGAATATGTTGCTTTTTGGAACTTCCTTACATCTAAAATGTAGGGAAACAAGAATTTCTAGAAGAGTATGGGACTATTTACTTTGATCTTTGTTGTGAATGTGAGCAATCAGACACAGTAGTAATCACCTGTGTGCTGCTGAAGAAAAGCCTTTTTGCTCTTTCATTCAGATACGGTGCTCTTTCCTGTCCTAACCAGTGGCAGTCAAATTTCACCCTCTGAGCAAACTGTACTTCAGTAGAAGAGTTGGCTATAGTGACCCGTTCTTGGAAATCTTAAGAATTCTTCAGGATGAATTGTACAAGCTTAAGTTTGTTAATTTGATAAGAGTTACTGGGTAAACAAACTCATAAATGTTCTGAAAGAATAAATATGTACAAACTCAAATGAACAAAATGGTCTGCATTAAAGCCTTGAAATTCCTTCACTTTTATTGGGAAAAAAGTCTCACAGGTTGATTAGACTCAATGTTATTTAAATATTTGTAAGTAATTTACCAGATGACTGACCAGTCTTTAGCTTTGTGTACTCGGTCTAAAACATTTCTGAAGTTACATTTCACACGACTCTGTGTCTTTTACATTTCCAAACATTGCTGGAAACCTGTTTTTTTCAAAGCTGCTGCATTACATTTGAAGACTGTGCAATGAATTGCATAGAGAACTGACCTGAAGACAATTTCCAAATTTTTTACAGCTATTTGATAACTACTTCATCTTGTATATAATGATGATTTAATAAACCACTTCAGCTTTCCTGATTAAGATGTACATTTTCTTCCTTACAGTACCACTGTGATCCAAAATGTGAACAAAGCTCAAGTCAAGATCAGAGCTAAAAAGGACAATGTAGCAGGTGATTGTCTTCCTGACTATGAGTATTTCAGTTAAGGGAATTGTGGGAGGAGACTCTGAAATATGGAGGAACATATCCTTTCTTTTACTCATGTAACAGTAGGAACACTTGTAATTTGCTGTTTTTTTCACATACAACATAATTTTTATATTTAGTTATTTACCTCATAAAATTAAATGTGTGCATAAAGTGCAGTCCAGTTTCTAGATCTTTGGACAAAGTGTAACTTTTCCATAGGGCTTTACTGAAAAAATAGATCAGGAAATTAAGTATCACAAATCAAATGTTTCAGAAAATTAACTATCAGTAATTGCCTATGAAGAAAACAAGAAAGATAAATCAGAATTGAATGCTTAAAATACTCCTTAAAGCACAGGGAATATAAACAGAAACATAGTAAAACATATAGAAACATAATAAAACCTAAACTGAATAAACTAAAGTATTTCCCTGAATTTTTCATGTGTCTAGAGCTCTGTGATCTCAGTACAGTTCTGACGTTCCACACTAACATGGCAGAACCAACGTGACCTAATTGTTCCAAGATATATAGGGAGATTTTGGAAACAAAGCTTCTGATCTTATGTAATTTATTAGAAGTAAACGAGGTAAAAGTGAGTTCTGCTTAATAAATCTACAACCCTTTATGTCTCTTACACATGTTCACTTTCGTCAGGTGTAACCTTGCCAGTTTTTGAGCATTACCAGGAAGGAGGAGACAGTAAGTACAAACCAAGTTTTTTTTATCTTACATGTACTTATGGTCATTCTATGCTAACACAAAACCACTTGTCACGTGTTGCTGATAAGTCAGTTTATGTCACAGGCATAGGTCTACTTGACTTCCACTATGATGCTTTGTCCTGTTCCTGTGACATGGAGAGATTACTGGGGACTATAGTGGATTTTAATTTCCTGAATCAGTGAGTTTTTCAGATGACGAGAAGGCTTGTCTTGAATTACCATGTTTTGAGACTGGTAGGTCTTACCGTTGAGATGCACACAGTCATCTGTAGTAATATCAACCACTATAAAGACAATTTGTTAAGTGGAAAAAGCTTTACGTTGTCACTTACTCAGCTGTCTGTATCCCTGTAGTTGGTAAAGTACTCATTTTTATCTAATAAGAAAACACCATAGTAGAAATAGCAACAAGTTTGGGGTTTTTTTTCCAGGCTATGAGCTGACTGGCTTGGCCAGAGGTGGAGAACAACTGGCTAAGCTGAAGAGGAACTATGCCAAAGCTGTGGAGCTACTTGTGGAATTGGCCTCCTTACAGGTTGGTGGGAGACAAAAAAGAAGGGATCATTGGTTTGAATTGTTCTGAAATGAAAGAATTTAGTTTCAGTGATTGTAGCTTAATACTTTGAGCTGTACTATACTCCTTATACAGCACTGGGACTAAAGTTTCAAACCTATTCCAACCATGAAACATTATATTACCACTTCAAAGAAGTCCTTATTCCTCAGTGCTACGAAGAAACTTTCTTTGGGGAGGTGGTATTTATAACTGCTGATATGCAGTATTCAGCATGCTGCTAACATTGGTAGAAAAAATTCTGCTCCTATAAAGAATATAGTCTGTAAAGCTACATTACAGACTTGGCTTTCAAGTGCTATTTGGTTTTTTGTATAGAGTTGATGGAAATGCTGAATTTGTCTTGTTATATATGAATTATTTAATCCCATTCCCTTCTATCAGACATCCTTTGTTACTTTGGATGAAGCCATTAAAATAACAAACAGACGTGTGAACGCAATTGAACATGGTGAGTATTTTTCCATTTGGGATGCATAATATTCTTCTGTCTCCATGAAAGATGAGGAGCAGGGTACTGGAAGCCACTCTTCTTTTGACTGATTTCTTGTTAGTGGAATTTCTAAATAGTTCAAGAACTCTTCAGAAATTATTACAATAAAGTGTACTGCAAGTAAGAACAAAAATTAAAAGCCCAGTGGAATCGGCTGAAGTACACAGTGATAAATGAAAATTCAAACACAAGAAAGTAACCAGGAAGTAATACTGAGAACCTATAGAACACAGATTTCACACACACATTCTGGAGTCTCTGATACTGACTTTGACTGACTTGGTCAAAGAAAAGAAACAAAAGCCAGGGTGTTTCTATGTGTTAGCTAGCCTAATAGCTTTTAAAACTCTTATGGATATTGTCCAGTGAAGAGCCGGTGACTTTTTGTTGGTTTTGGATGGGATCAGAGTTTAGGCATCCAGAGAGGAATCTTGGTAACTTAGGCTTGTGGTACAGGAAACCTAACAGTCCTACTGTCAGTACTCTGGTACTTTTCTTTCATCTGAATTCCTTATCATTCATGGTTTTGTTTGTAAATTTGTTTCTTGCTGCTTTTTAAGTGCTACCTATGCACAGTATTGCTGTGATTCCTTTTGCTGCAGTATCCAGGGTGCTTTGATTATTTCTGGTTCCTGAGTTGCTGATAGCTCGGATTTAATCATCTTCGCATGTATGCAATAACTTCAGTACATGATTCTAAACCGTCCTTTTCAGTACTGTTTTTCATAGACTTGTTCCTTTGAAAATGCAGGCCTTCTCTGCAGCTTATCACCCTGCAAATTTGATTGTAGAAAAGCTTTCCTATGCAGCCTTCCAAATGAACTTTGGTAGTGCTGATAGCAGCTTTCTCCTTTAAAAAAGTGATTGACACAGAGCTTGACCAGTTGGATGTTAAATCTTTGTTTAATGTGTTTACTCTTCCCTTGTGATGGTGTTATATTTGAATATTTATTTTTGTGATGGCTTTTTCAAACCAAGAGCATAATTCTCTGAGTAAAAGGGCTATATTGAACAGAAGTTTCTGAAAGAATGTAATGGAAGAAGATGGTTTTAATTTAAATCTTGCAGGATTTTTTTTAAACACTTCCCTGAGGAAAAAAATGAGTTTACAAATAAACAGGCATCAGTGCTTACTGATTCTATTGCATCTTTCAAAATAAAGTGCTGTGGGAGATTCTGTGATGTTCAGAGTCCTAATTTAGAAAACAGGTTTGTGTACTTGTGCATAATGAAATAATGGGATCTTCCATGAAAGAGATGGAAATTTCCCCCAGCCAAAAGAATGACTAGATTGACTTCAAACAACCATCTGTGCACTGCATTAAATAACCTGGCTAATATGACTGCAATGCAAAAACTTCCTTATTTATATTTTTTAGTGATTATTCCCAGGATTGAGCGTACTCTTTCTTATATCATCACAGAACTGGATGAACGGGAACGAGAGGAATTCTACAGGTAAATATCTAAACCAATGCTAGACTGGTCTCTTCTTCTGAAATAAACCATTCCTCAGAAGGGACTTACGAGAACTCTTCACCACATCTGGCTGTGAACACTTAAAAACATGACCTGGTCCTTATTGCACACTGAGTTTCCAGAGCTGGGCACTTGAAGATCTGCAATTACTTGTCTGAAATTTACAGATGAATCCCTACCATGAGGTTGTACATAGCTGTCATTATCATTCTTCCAGAGGGAATGATGTGACACAGTACAGGGAGGTATTCTGCTTTAAGGACACCTGTGACAGAGGTCAGTGTTCTGAGCTACCTGAAGCAAAAATGTCAAACCTGAAATGAATTAAAGGAGAATTAAACTTCATTAAAGACAAAATATTATAATGCAGTGTTTAAGCTCAAGAATATAATTTGTAGTTTTGATGAAGGAGTTAATTTGCAGAGATGAAGTTTTTCAGATGGTAGCAGCTAGCAACAAAAGCCTTTTGCCATTCGTTACAGGCTTTTCATTTCCTGGGGAACTTCTCCAGGCAGCTTTATCATATCTAAGTTGTATGGCATCTTTGCTGCTAGCCTCTTTTATGAAAACATACTTGTTTCACAGATAAACCATGTTTTTCTTCACAGGTTAAAAAAGATACAGGAAAAGAAAAAAGTATTGAAAGAAAAATCTGAGAAAGAACGGGAGCTGCGGAGGGCTGCTGGTGGGGAACATGAACCAGCCAATCTCTTAGCAGAAGAGAAGGATGAAGACCTTCTCTTTGAGTAACCCTGCACAGCTGTTGGACATGGAGCAGGGAACCCAGAATACAGAACGTCCATTCGCAATATAATTCAGGACATGTTGCCTCAATGATACTTACGTGGCTTCTCAGTTGCTGTAAAAGTCTCAAGTTGAAGGGATTGTGGATTTCTCTGGGGAGATTAGAAATCTCGGAACTTGACTGCAGCATAGGAGAAAAAGGAGAAATTAGTCAGGTGCTTTACTATCAGGAAAGCCATCTATTGCCTGTTCAGCCTGTTTCTTCACTTGGTAGGAATGACTGTCCATAGCTGTGTTTTTTTGCAGGATGGCTCTGGATTTGCCTAATCAGATTCCTCTTTAATTGCTCCCCTTCCTAGTGCAAGCAGAGGAAAATGTTTTTGTAGGAGGGAGATGCATGTAATGTTCTTCACTGCTGAACTATTAATGTTAAAGCTGGTATTGGCACAGCTGAAGCCCAATGTCAGTAAAAGCAATTCCAGTTTTCTAACCTGTTGATGAAATCCACTGTCTTCTGTGATTTGTTGCACGATTGTTACCATTGGCCTAAACATCTATGGTTTTAAGTAGAGGTTCTGCCAACTTGTGTACTGTCTGTGCTAGAAATAAGTAAAAATTTTAAATGTTAGATGTCTGGTGTCTGGCTCAAGTTGCTAGAAGAGATGGTGGTCATAAAAGCTTGCTATGCTGACTGCAAAATAAAACCTTCACTTCATCCTCTACCTCGCACTGGGCACAGTAACCAAGGAGTGGCTCCTTCCTGCCAGAAACACATCAAAACTTTTCTCAACTATCCAGCCACATATTGCTCCCAATCTTCATTGCAACCAGGCGGCTGGCAGGCAGAGCAGGGTTGAAGGCAGGGTAGTCCGTGGTTGTCCATGTCCTCAGCTGACGAGGGGAGGGCAGGACAGGGGCTGGTGAGCAGGAGCCGGCTGTCACTGAACACTGCTCAGTTTGAAGGGCTGTTTTCCTAAAGGTGCTGGTTTGCAGTTGTGCCATTGCAGTAATACTGGTACACTGTCTCTAGTACCCTGAGTCTCTTCAAGGTAAACCTATTGTTTTAAACATGATCCAGCACTTAAATGCAAGTGCAGGCTAAGTGCAAGGGAGCAAATTCAATGAACACCTTAGAACAGTCATAAATGTATGAAACACAAGACCATTTCTTTTCAAGCTGAAGGCAGCACAGCTGAGTAAGTCGTCCATACTCTGTTGTAAGATACAGGTCCATCTTGAAGGAGAAACTGTAGATCCAAACTGTTAATGTCTCCCACCGGATGTGCAGTGGTCTACCACCTCTAGGGCACTGATGGGTCACAGCATCTTTCACACATTCAGCATAATGGCAGAAAGAAGACTCCCAAGATCCACTACAAGAAGTGAAATTGTACAGTGATTTATTTTAAATCTAGAAATATTTTACATTTTTACATTAGTGTGCAGTTCAATGATGTCTCAAAATACAGAGTGCAGATAACATGTAAAAAAGTACAATGTGGGGCTAACCACAGGTCTCAGTATAAGTTACCTTAATTATTTAAGGCATTAAACCCCCCATCTTATATTTTAAAAAGTCACATATAATTACATTCAAAAATTATTTTATGCAATTCAGCTAACATACATTTTTTTAAATTAAATCTGGACTGGTAAAAATGCAGATACCCTCATTTCAGTCTGATACAGCTCACTACAAAGCCTGTGTTAAGGTTGAAGAGTTTCACCAGTGAAGTTTACATGTCCTCTTTTACTCTCAAGGGAATTAACACACATTCTTCATTAAAGAAGGCAGAATAGTTTCTTACACAAGGTAGTTCCAGGTCTGAGCTGGCAGCAGCAGGAGACAAGAGCTAACACTGGTTATAAACTACCATAGCACCTCGGCCTGCATGTCAGCGAGTGCTGTGTGCCTTGGGGAATTACGAGAGTAGAGCTGAACTTCAAGCAACATTCTTTAAGTCTACATTCAGAAGCTTATTTGTATAAAAACAACTTCTGTACGCCATTTCAGAAAAAACAGGGAGACAGACAGTCAAAGACATTAATGGCATGATTTACTGTGACTGACACTGCCTAGGAACACCGAATACTTACGGGAGTTCAGCAACCATCATGAGCTGATAGCGACTGCAAGAATTTGGACAGTACCTACATAGCTGAGCTCAGTGACCATTAACATACAATTTACTGCTTTCCACCTTCTTGTCTAGCCATGAAACAGTCAATACCAAAAACCCTAATACATCTACAATAATCTTTCTTAAAAAAGGGTAGACTTGATACAATATTTTGTCATCTGTGAAACACTGACTATCCAATATACCTGAACATTGTAGTTGTCAAACTATGGATTAAACAAAGAACGTGCCTGCAATGTGAGGCAAAAAGCCATTGTTTTGAATTATCCAGCCCTTAAGGCCAACAGCTAGCACATTACTATTTCTAACACTGAATCAAACTAAAGATATTAAAATTTCCAACCCCTTTTCTTTCTGAAGGGTCATTACTTATCCCCACTAATTGCTCTGCAGCCCTAAATACTAATTAAACCAGCAAATAATTTTGCTTTCTAACATGACAGGAATGCACTCTATACTTCCATTTTTCAATACAAAAATGTACTGAATGTTAGTTCAGTAACTAGGATAGTTATCTGACAATTTCTTTACATCTGCTGTATACTTTCAGCTCTCTAACTATGGATGTGAATTTGTTCCATTAACATTGGAAGAAAGAATATATGCAAAAGAATGGAAAAAAAAAAATCTACTACTTCATCCTTCAACATTAGACAGGAGTGAACTACACAACGATGTAACTCCAGTGTTTTACCTGTAGGAAAAAAGAAACACTACGGCTAAAATTAAGACATATTCACAGTCAAGGTTCTTTGTGCTACCCAAACCAGCCAAGAAACTACTGTTCAGTTGGCTTCAGCGATAGAGCAGCCCTACTGCAAATGCACAGCCTTAGTAGTTAAGCCTTCACAGCTCAGAGTCATTTGAGGATGCAGAGATGTTCCCATCTGCTTTGCAGAACACACTAGGATAAAGACAGACTTTGTCTTTTGTTCACCTGTTTCAAGTTTTTTTTGTTTTAATCATTACAAATATTCCCCTTTCTTGTGACTTCTCAGTCAGTTACCAGTGTTTTACACAAACTTTCACTGCAGTACTGAGCAAATGCAGGACAATGCATTGTTCAAATGGCTAGTGAATTACAATACTAATTTAAAACACAGTAGCTACGTTCAGCTACTTTAATTCCAGTTCATTATCTGTTAGACCAACAGCCACAAGATGAACCATTTGCAGAGGTTAAAAAACCGCAGTATCTTCCAATGTTCAGCACTATTTTAGTCAGTATTCTGTTATAAAACATGAGAATTTGAGTTTTAAGCAGCATGTTTTATAACTATATATTTTTCACAAAAATATAACCTCTGCCTTTCTAAATATCTCTATAGATCTGTGGAAAACCGTAGCTCCAATCAGTAAATATGTTTTAAAGAAAATTCCATAAAAATATCATATCTAAAAGTTCAATATAATATTAATCTTTGATTGGATCTAAAATTAATGTGCAGTCAAATCTGATTTTAAAAGTCTGACTAAAAAGACACAAGGATTGAAATATTTACATTACACACATTTTCCAATTACAGTGCTATTAGGAAGTGGAATGTTTGAGAATTAAAATATTAACTCAAGCCTCACAGGGCAGCTTCAGACCAGAGCAGCATCTTCATTCTGTGTATATTTTTGAACAGGAGAGATTTCTCACCAGTATTTTCATGTGTAAATTATTTCTCTGCCCAGTGATCTGTAGAATTATGCTCCTGAACTACCATCATGTCCCACAAAGCCATTAAGTTAAGTGTTAAATAACATTTGTATTTATAACTATGTGACAGCATGGACTGTATATACACACACATATATACTTCAAATCTTTGATTTAATAAGGGTGATTCTAAGTAAAAAAGGTGGATTTATGTATAAAAGTAGTTGCTAGAAAAAAATCCATCTAAAACTAGAATTTAGTACTGAAAAAGTCTCCATTTCTAGACCACAGAGAAAGAAAACCCAAACAATCTTTAGATGAGTTAAATTGGCTCACAAGCTGATTAGTGTTTGTTGGTTTTTTTTTCAGTAATACGCAACTTCACCAGCAAAGGATGCAGCCACTGAGGTCTAGAGCTCACACGCATTTATACTAGAATTGGGCAGACCTACACACGATCTCCTCAGAAAGATTACTAGACTGAAGTCCATTTGTGCCTTGGAATTGCTCTCTCATCGTAGCCAGGTAGAGGGCACCCACTGGGGTTCTGTGTCAAGTTTGTTTATTAACCGAAGTAACTCTTGATACGCCTTATCAAGATCAGAATTCACAATTGCTGTATCAAAGTAGTGGCCATTGTTCTGCTCCATCTCTCTCGTTTTCTCTATGATTTCTCTCAGCTCTTCTGGCTGCAACCAAAACCAGAGAATTAGTGTACCTGTGTAAGCCTCTCCCCCCAAACAACAAAATAGGGAAGGGTAATGACTCAGAAAAGTCTTTTACACAAATTGTCATGGTATTGCTATCAGCTGTTGAAAAGTTCACAATAACATTGAACCATGATATATGTTTGAAAGTTAAGGGCACTCCAGACAATCCTTTCTGACTGGCCATAAGTGGCAAACAGTATATAACTGTCCTAGACTGAAGCAAACAAAGAAGATCTAGCACTGCTCATTTTATGACATTCTTCTTACTGAGGCTTTTAAATCATGTTTCTGAAAAATAAGTTAGGTCGCTATGCCCATTATCCTTCTGAAAAAGACTGGAGATGGCAGAGATAGTGTAAGAATAAGTTTGAATGGTGTAAAACAAGACAACATTCCTCTGAAGATGAACCACCACAAACACCAAAAGGCAATAGCTACCATTGGTGAAAATATTTCAATAAACAGCAGTGAGAACCACAGTGAGCACTATACATTTAAGCTGATTGAATCACCACAGCATCAGGTAAATGACATTGTAGAAAAATGGAAAACACTGTTTGGGAGCTGGAAGGGAATATGTCAAAAGCAAGAATATTGCAGATTTAGATAAATGATGTAAAGGGAAAAGTAGAAATGAATCGTTTTACTTCATAATTTTTTACACTTGGATTCTAAAAGTATGTTTGTTTTTCTCTTCAGCTTATGTTTGTATTATATAAGGGAATATTCAGGTATCATTTCTGAGATAATTTTCTAAAGAGGGTATTTTCAGAAGGGACTTCAGGCCTTCAAGATTATTTTTTTCTAGGCTTTATATACACATAAGAAAAATCAATGCCACATACAGGCATACATGCAAGAAATACCCTTTATCAGGTAAGAGTAAACGTTACTGTGTTAAACCCCAACTGAAAGAAATACAACTCCAATTCAATTAATCAGAAAGAAAACAGGTGTAGTTTAACAGTATATTAATTTTTATTGCAAATAGATTCCTTGAGTACTGCGATAAAAAACCCAGGCATACATAAGATGAAGTATTCATATGAAGTTTCATTTATTGCATAACAATGAAGAAGGAAACATGCCCATTTAAAGGCATGATAATATTTGACTCGGGAAGAAAAAACAAGAGAAAGAGATGTCTGTTTTAAGACCTGGACTTTAATGGACTTTAGACCCTGTATCCAGGTAATACACCACACCCCTGCACCAAACAAGGAGAACAAAACACCACAGCTGTAGAACACAGTGAGTACTATTCCAGACCCACAGCCACAGGAGGAGTCCCTGCGTTATTCTGGGAAGAGTGCTCTTCCTCAGTCTGAACTGCATGATGTTCAATTAGTACTATGAAGATACTATGGTGGAAAAGTGCTCCCACCAACCACTGTAAGGTAGAGTCCAGTTAAAAAGCTGAAGATGAACATATTTCACTACCTTAGCAATAAACACTTTGTACCTCATAAGATGGTAAGGACCTTTTCTGAGCTTTCAGACATCCTAGTTTAATCTGTAGGTTTCAGTTCCAATCTTCAGAACTACTCTAACTAAAACATCTGAACTGGGTAATCTGAGATCTTGACATGACTCTGGTTGAAAAGTGTTTCTACAGGATCAAGCACTAGATAACTTTATCTGAAGAGTTTTGGAGTACATTTTCAAGTAAATGCTTTTTCCAAGGGCAGATATGTTCTCAAAAGGAAGAAATTAATCATTTGCTCCCTAGAATTATTCTCAGGTTTACTTGAAGACGCAGTTGGGTTTTCCACAGTTTTGAAATAAATGTTTGTACCCAAGTGCAGGGACCCCAGCTAATACATTGTGTTTCAGAATTACTGAATTAGCAGTGGATTCCTTTGCCTCTTATCTCTCACTGCATGAGAAAAACCTTCCTGAGCCCTTCCCTTAGTATGGTCTGCCTACTAACCTGGAGCACACAGATCTCAACTACGCTGCTTCCCATATATTGTCAGTACCATTATCATCTCCCAAATCAAAAGAAAGAGTACACAGATTTATTCACCAAAAGCACCCATAAGTAAAAGCATGGTTTCAGAAGAAGTGTTAGATGGATTACCTTTGGGTTTTTCCCTTCTTTGGCCAGCAAAGCACGTAATCTCTCTTGTGAAGGTGGTGCAACAAATATAATATATGGCTTCAAGTCAGAATTACGTAGTGTCTTCAGTGACTGTTGAAAGAGGATTTATTAATTATTTAACAGTTCCACCCATGAAAAGGGCATTTAATGATGCATTATTCACATGCTATAATTTATAATATACTCTTCAAACACAGTAACAATTATACAATATATGAACAGCAGTATAATTAACCATAACAGCATTATCATCACCAGAGTTAAGTCACCATGTCCTACAAAATGATATTCCAACATTTTTCAGCTTCACAGAACCCAAACATTTATTTTTTTGTCCAAGAATATTCTTCATAACTAAACTGAAGGAATGTATCTTTTGGTACCCAAAAGCAAAAGTCATCTACATTGAAGTAAGTTTCCTTACAATGCTAAGGAATGGTATCAGTTTGAATAGAGAGAAGAGTCTTTAAATACTACAGTTCAATCTTTTCTGTTTTAAAGATTAAAATACAGAGTATCAGATGCACTACCACTGTATACTTAGCATATCTTTGTCAGGTTACATTTATATTAAGACACAGGAAACAAAAAGAACCAAACGGTAGTTTGATTTTTCCAAAAGGTTGCTCTATGTGTCTCAGGGCAAACAACTTGGCTCTGAGACAGATTTGTATAACTACCAAATTAGATCAATTTTCAAAGTGTTATGAATTTTCAACTCATTACATGCTTCACAATACCCATGAGCTATTCTAGTGGAGTATCACATTGTCCCAACTGGTGATAACTACTTATAGCTTCAGTACTACCAGACTTTACTGATGTGTCTGAGTTTTAGGGCTTCTTCTGCAGCATGTACAACAGCAGTAGACCTCATATGTATTGTACGTATTAGAAAATGGGCTGTGTTCCAAGACTCTGCCTCTTCCCATGTTTGACTAAATTTCCAGGTTGAGGTCTGTATGCATAGTTTGTCTCTTCTTCCTCCATAATCAAAAGGTCATCACTAAAGAGCTTTTCAATATTGTTGATGTGATATACTTTAATCCTGTCTGTTATGGAACTACATAAACATTCCCAAAATGCAGTTTTCCAAGTATAATCACAACTTTGTCTCCATCTTCAAAAACCTCAGAACTCACAAGAGTAATTAGAAGGCAGACACACAAATCTTAATTAAGTTTTCAATTCAGATGGTTCTCACCAGCTTTAAGCATCTGGTAACCAATTATTAGGTCCCTATTACCTTTCGCACAGATAAAGAAGATGCGTATATTTTCAAACGGGGAATAAGAAAGTTGTATTCGTAACACGCTAGAGTCAACTGAACACCACGGAAAGAAAACTTGGAATAAACATGAAAATGGACCTTGAAAACACAATTCTGTATCAACTAAATACAACTCTTCAGATTTTCACAGTAGCATCTACAACTAAAGCATTCAACAACAGGCAGCTGAAACAGGCAGCAGCTTTGCCATACCTGGGTATGAAGATTTAAAAGGCATATCTTGCCCGAGTTGATTACTTGACGCACAGAGTCTGTGCTAGTACCATAGAGGTTCTTCTCAAACTCTCCATATTCAATGAACTTCCCTGCAGCTATGTCACTCTCAAATGCCTGTCGGGAAATGAAATGGTAATCCCTGCCAGCTACTTCAGTCTCTCGCCTGCTCCGAGTAGTATCTACAAACAAGAGCCACAGAAAAGAAACTGAGACAGTGATACATCTGTAGAACTGGAGAAATTTTTCTTAGGACATACTGCTAAACAAGCAAAAAAAGGCATATGAAATATTCAAGAAATGCAAGTACTTTATTTTCTACAATAAATATCCCTGGACAGATTAAGTTGCCAAAAGCTAAAGCTATGTTTAGATGTCTTGTTTACATTATCTATTTAAAAATGGTTAACTAGGAAAGCAATGTTCACCTACACAGCTGCATTCTGAATGTGAAAGCAGCTATTAGTTGTTTACAACAAATTATATTGCTAAGCTGTTTGTAAACCTAATTTAGGGTACATTCGACATTAAAAATATAAAATTCACTGAAATTTAAGTGGTTTGGGAAGGCACTAAAGCCACCTGAATTTCAATTTATTTAGGATATGCAAGTTAAAAATTCTTTAACCAATGTACCAGTTTAAAAAAAGAAACTTCTGTAACTCAATCCAATTTTATTCAAACTGAAATATATGCATGTCTTATGCCTCTATAACACTATATTGGGACACTGGATTTGCACTGACTTACTAAAGCTACTTTTTGCCACAAAAGATGCAACTTTGTCCTTTACCCAAGAGCTGACTATATCCTGCTCAAAACCCCCAAACTCCTAATTAATATCTTCAACACAAAAGACTTTGTCTGTAGACAACATTTAGAATAAGCTATTGTATCTGCCCAAGCTTACGGGGAACTGCAGAGGCAAAGCGATCCACTTCGTTATTCATAAGTCTCTGCCGCAATTCGTTTTGGCCACAGTTCTGTGGGCCGATCAGAACAATGGGCCGTTTCCTATTTGCTGGTTGATGATACAGTGACATTTCCTCATAGGTCAAAATTTCCTCGTTGTCATAATCTTGAGAGAGAAACAATAAAAGTCACAATACACTTTAGTTCTAGTTGCATGAGCCACCTGCCATGCAAGTATTGTGTTTCAGGCTCCTGACTCTCTCTGCCCAGCATCTAACTGTGAGTCACCAGAGCAACAGGACCCCAAAGATCATCAGTTGCTCACTAAGATGAGGCCTTTTTTCCCCCTTTCTGGAGAAAGAAAATGTGTTTCCACTTAGTACTGATGTAACCAGTAGCATAAACTCAGGAAACAAGTCTCTTGCCAAGGAACAAGTTTCTAGTACAAGAATACTACTTTATACCCAACAACAAAGATCATCATTCCAATTCCAAAGTACCTTTGTAAGAATATAGCATAAATGGCCTTTATTAAACCTCTGTAGAGAAAGCTTCCATTTACTAAACCTAATTATGCAGAGTGAGATAATATTACAAAACCATAATAAATTGGTTTATCATTGCAAAATTATGAGTGTTTCCATGTCTAAAAAGCCATCTGTTTTTTTACCCCATCATCTGATCCTTATTAAAGACACTAAATGACCCTACAAGTCCTGCCACCTCTTTTACATCTTTCACTAAATGCTATTACAAACCATACTACTGCTCCCGCACAGAACACCACCAGATGGTATTTCTAACATCACATCCTGAATTTCAGCATTATTTTCACAAGGCTATTTGTAGAATCTTTTGTAGTTGCTTATAAATGCACACACTGTGCAAAAGATGTTGCTTACCATCATTTTTATTTGCATTGTATAAAACCTTTTTCCGTTTCTTTTTGTTTTTCTTCGCGCACCAGAGTTTTCCTAACCAAAATAAAAATTATCACAATCAAATATCCATACAGTAAAAAACTTTCTATCCCACTATCTGGATTTTTAAAGTGGAGAATTTATTCTGCAGTTTTGAAAAGGCATAATATTCTTCCGTTTGTTACAACAGTTTGGTGTGTTAAGCAAATTCTGCATGCCAAGGACTTCAACTGAGTCATGACAAACTTCTTTAAGAAAAAAACGGGCTTTCCAAATTTCCCTACATCATCCTATTTATACAACAAAGTGCTAAACTCAGACCTGTGTTTACATGAAGAATTAATTTCAAAGAATCATTCCATTTGGATTACAAAACATCGAAGAATTTTCTGCAGCTCCACAATATTCTAGATATCACTAATTAGCACCTCCATAAGATGATTTTTTTTTTTTTTCTTGGAAAGCATATATCCAACCTGATTTTTCTGGCTCCTTGTCTTCTTCTATGGTTTGCTTCATTGCTTCTCTTTGTTGCTGAAAACTTTTTCCTTAATGCATTAAAAAAAAAAAAAAGGGGTACAAAAGCAGTTAACATTTAGAAACCATTTCTATGCTTCTTTTGTAATGACTTGATGTAAAATAGTAGAATATAACATAGTAGAATATAACATCTAAGAGAAATTTAAAAAGAGAAATTAAAATTTAAAAATAAATTAAAATTGCTGCGAAGTTTGCTTATTACTTTGAAAATTTATTTATTCATCACAAAAGACGCAAACCATTTGTACTATTCTGGACAGTTTTGCCTGAAACATGTACACTACTAGGAAAACTACATTTCTCTACTATGATAAAAGGTTTTCTAATTATTTTTGTACGTCAAGTGTGCTCTATTTCTACTAAATCTTTTGAATTTCAGCTTGAAACAGATTAGCCTATATTTACATCAGTGCTCCTCTCAATTTACTCAAATGTCATAAAGTAACACTGTGATGTTCTATGGAATTTGCAGTCTTTTGTTCCCTGTATTTAACAGATCAGATCTTTAATGGAGTGCAGTACATATTTCAATGTAAAAATTATATACCGACTTCAGTGTTCGAAAACCCTATTACTCAGACTCCCAACAGCTAGAAAGGAAGGATGACTATTACAAGTAACTGAAGCTCTTTGCCAAGGGAAAACATGCAGAAAAGTTACCATGAAAAAGGTACATTTTTCAAATTGACTATTTGATACAGTTAGAAAACTAACAGCTGCTCTCCTCTTCAGAGAACAAGCAGGCTGAAGTCCCACGTTTCTGACATAGCCAGCAGAGGGAACTCTGAATCCAGAATCCCCAAGGTGGGGAAGCAAAGGAGGAGGAGAGTACATCTTGAAAGGTGAACTGCAGTGGAAGCAGCAGATTTACTCTGCATATAACATCTATACATGGAGATGCCTCTAGAAGGTCAACCTTTTAACTGAATCACGTAACAAACACTGAGCTCAGTTGCAAAAGGTTCAAAGGCACAGATACTTAAGGCAATCGATATTTAAGGGTATGTGAGTCTTTGAAAACCAGAATACTGTTCCTGTGGCTATATAGTAACAACTGGCTGCCAAGCTTTCTCTAGAGCTTTATTTACCAGGGATAAGGCCTGCCAATGGCTGATTATCTTCATCTCCATCTCTGTAAGCCTGCCACCAGTTTGGGTCTTCTTGGCTGATCACATGGAGTATATCTCCTTTTTGAAAAGATAGGCCTAACTCTCGGCAGGGGACGTAAGGGTCATCAGAGGGATCATAATCAAAATGAGCTTTCACGTGTATCTGTGGGAGATCAAATGTAAAAATAGAAATAAAAAACCCATGACTTCTTAAGAATGACACCCCATCTTCCTGTGACTGCAGTGGAGCTCTGATATATAAAAACTCCCAAGATTCTATAAAATGGAATCTTTATCTGAGGCATACAGGAGTTACAGGAATGGAATCATTAACTAGGTTAGCAATGGAAAAGACACAGTTGTGCTAGGTTGGAGGTGAAGGCTCAAATTTAACTTGTAAATTCTAAAGTCTATGCAATTTCCTCACCATTTTAAGAAACAAAAACCTCTCAGCTACTGATATAAGTTCTCTGCATTCAAAAAGTATCAGAGATATTGTAATTTATTTAAAACAGCTAATAAATACACAGACTAAAACCCATTTGCTGGGCTTTAGGTGAAGTTTCACTTGTAAAATATTTTACTTTGTCACCGACCATTAATATTTTTATGGTGTATTTTTTTTAAATTTATCTTTACATTATTTTTTTTGTGCATTCTTTCTTCAAACTGTTAAAGTGGTCTCAAGAAGTGTTATTTAAAAAGTTGAGCAAAGTTTCCAGTATACAAACTTTTCCTCCCAAAGCATATTTGCAAGTTCCATTGATCTATTTTTGTATGTATATATACAAAAAGAGAAAATGGAAATTTCAAAATAGAATTTCAGAAGCACAGGCAGTTCTATTTTATAATTTCAATACTATTTTAGAAACTGAGTTAAAATCATACCAAGAGTTTCAGCTTAACACCATCAATGTTTTCAACAGTTAATTCAGGTGTTAGTCAGGTAACAATTAAACCAATTTAAACAATTAAGTTTTGGGTTTGTTCCATGATGTAAGTGACCTACAGAAGAACTTTCTACACATTACTGGTAAAACAAACTATATATCACTGAAGTCAATAACTTATGGAGAGCTACTTACAACTGTCTCCTTTGCAGGAGGTGGCTTGCTCTGCTGACTGGGAATCAATACAAAGGTCAGAGTACCATGCATGTCAGCCTGAGACAAAAAAAATAGACTCTTCATACACAGTATTGAAATATGGCTTACAGTTAAGAATTTTAATAACATTTTAGAAAATGCTTCAAAAACTCCCATAAAAGGCAGTTTCTAACAGCACATCATCTACCTCTTAACTGGTTTAAAAGATATAGTACAGATACAGTGATTTAGTGACAGACTAGAAAGCCTAGCATTCTTGATTATACACAAGCCATTTCTGTTTGAAATAGAGCAGCTGCCATTCTCTCAGGCAACGACTTAGGAGAAATTAAGAATACTATTCTCTTGTTCTGTTCGAAACTACCAAGAAGTGAATGTACGCTGAGAAGAAAAAATATACAAGAGATTATTATTTTTCTAGAATTGCTTAAGCAGAACAGTGTTTTAAAACCTAAGCATTTTTACTATAATTTTATGCTGTTAATATTATTAAAGTATAAAACCCACAGTTTAAAAACTCAAATCCTGCATCTATAAAGTACTTAATATCAATATTGCAACCACCCCTATGAAGTAGAACATGATAAATGTCCTGGCTTTAAAGAATTCTTATTTGTTTGCATACTTTTGTATGCAGAGTGTGTTTGCACACATAAAGAGTACCTAGATAAAATGCAAGTGCCAATCCATGATAAGGTCTACATGTATCTCATGTCCTATACATCATTCTATGAAACATAACACAATTCTTGTTTATAAAAACCAAAGCAAATGCATCTATCTCAAAAAATTCAGACCTAAGGCTTAAGTAAACATAACTGAGCATAACACGATCAGGCTGCAGGAAAGGAAAATCCACCATTTTCAGTCAGCATGCATAGTTCCATGAGGAATCCATGGAATTTCACAGTGATTGTGTGAATAGTCTTGTCTAAAATCATGTGCAATTTATTATCAGGTGGGTAGCAAGTGCTGAGGTAAAATTAAGAATGAAAGTACTTTCCTTCTCCTGCGTTGAAGTATTTTTTTGGGGACTGAAGCAATTTAAAACTTCACTTCCACATTACAAAAGACAAAAGACAACACATGAGAAATTAAAAATATTTTTAAAAATATATTTGAAAAAATGTGATTTAAAAAAAAATTCAGCAAATAATTTGCTCTTATGTTAATGTATTATGGTTTTAAATCTTTTATTCTGTAACTCTATGTATTATGGTTTTAAATCTTTTATTCTGTAACTCTAGGTTGCTGCTCAAGAGGAGAACAAGCTTTCTGCAGAGAACTAAACTGCCAAAGTTGAATTATCTGTCAAGCATCTACCAAACACTCTTTTCAGAAGCACAGGACATAAGTAAATGAGGCCCTTAAAAAAAAAAAACCAGATGGCAATTGAGACAATTCTTAGCATAAAGAATCGCAGATTATCTCTGACTCAAAGCACACATGATGACTGAAGGCTTTTCAAACTATAAGAATCTTCAAGTAGCTTAAAAAAACCCACCCCCACAGATTTCTGCCTCTCCTTCCTTCCACTTGACTTCATTCTATGCATTAGCTGAAAAAATTTAACAGCAAATTTCAGAAAAATATCCAACTAAAGGTAGAAATTCTCCATTAAAAACTACAGTCTTACTGCTGTAGCATGAGACAACTTCATCTATGGCTTTTGCTGCCTATTCTTCCTACAATAATGCAACCTACAGCACAACCCAGGTCTTTGCGCCAGTACTGATTTGTCTATAGAGCACAGATCTACTAAGTAATTAGAAAATCTACTAAGTATATTTATCTCACTCCCCCGCTCCCTAAATAAGTACTAGTGGATACTTACAATGTTTTGTAACAAAGGTATAAATTAACTTTTTAAAAAAAGAAGTCAGTTTCATCTCTTTTCATTTTGACAGAATGGTCTTGCCTGCTGCAATCAGACCAAAGGTTCCAGGGGTCCCATCTTAGACACTGATCAACAGCAGATGCCAGGGAAAAGCATGAGAAAAGAGTAATACCAGGCAACAGAAAATACTGGTAATTACCAGCTTTTGACATTCTACCTCACCGGGCCTCTGAAAGTACCTCTGCATTTACTAGTTCCTGATGGATTTCTCACCTTATGTTTCGACTATCTGCTTTTGAACTGATGTATATTTTGTCATGAATAGTAAAAGTGTAATAAAGAGAAAAATGTCTATGCTGGTAAGTGCTAGACAAAAGAGTTTGTATCAGGAGTGAAAGAGTAAGAAGTCTAGTTATATAAAGGTCCCGGTGTGATACAATTTATGGTGGGTTAAGTCTGGCCAGCAGCTAAGTACCCACCAGCTCCTCACTCACTTCCCTTCACTAGCAGGATGTGGGAGAGAATCAGAAGACCAAAAGCAAGAAGAACTCTTGAGTTGAGGTAAAGACAGTTTAATGAGTGGAGGGGAAAATAAACAACCTAACCAGTGATGCAAAGGCACTCACTCACCACCCAGCTTTTATTGCTCAACATGATGTTATATGGCAGGATATACCCCTGTGGTCAATCCAGGTCAGCTGTCACAGCTGTGTCCCCTCCCAACCTCTTCCTCATCCCCAGCCTACTTGCAGGCAGGGGACAGAGCAACAAACACAAGGAGGCCTTGTCACTGTGCAAGCACTGTTCAGTAATAGCTAAAACGCTGGTGCGTTATCAACACTGCTTCAGTCTGAAACACAGCATCCTATAAGCTGCTATGAAGAACACTACCTCCACCCCAGCCAGGCACTACCACAATCATACAGCCTATTAATTGCAGACTCAAGAGACAAAAAATGAGAAAACATGGCTTTTCAGAGCTAAACGAAGTTTTTCTTAGAAATCATTAAAAGCAAGTCATGATGAGAGCTTGATCCTTCCACATTCGTAGGCTTCATCTTTGCAGATAACTGCCATTATACTTATCAATATCCATACTATGCCTCAGAAAGAGAACTTGAAATGGCCCCCCACATATTAACACTAGCTATCAGAATGAAAATACTTTCAAACTAATGCTAAATATGAGTACAAATGACAAGGACACCCAACAGACTTCAGTCTTATGAAATGAATATTTTTTGCAGGGAATACAAGCAGCATCCAACTCACCAACAAGTCAAAAACTTCATTAACATCTTTTCCACGAATCTCAATGCCATTAATCTCAAGGACTTCGTCCCCTTCATGTAAGAGCCCACTCTTCTCTGCAGCACCTCCTTTCACTATTCGACTAATAATAACAGAATCCATTTCATTGCGGACAGTAGCACCCTGTGTAGTAGCAAAACATTCCAAATGTATTATATATATGAAACTCAAATCCATCTTTTGTATACATTTAACTATGTTGAAAGAGAATGTAAGTAACAGCTCAGATGCATACATGCAATGCTCCAGTTTAAAAAACTTTGCTTAATTTCTTTAAACTGCACTTAAGATTGAAGAATTTAACTGCTCCACACGATAAGATTAATAATTTTAAAAACACGTGTTCCTAAGTTCCTAAGGAAACACTTATTTGAAGCAAATAGAAGATAAGAGCTGCTAAAAAAAAACCCAACAAACCCAAATGTGGTTGTCACAAGGATATGAGCTCCCCTGCAGCAAAGGGTGACTTCTGGCAAGAAGTCCTGTCCAAACCCAAATTGACAGAAGCTGTACAGATTTTAAATGGTAGTACGGCTACTGGTATATGAAGATAAGCACAAGTTTACTGTCTACGACCATTCCTCATTTTGGAGGGAGGGTGTTTAAAGTTTAAACATCACCTCTACATTCAAATTCCAACATTTTCATGGCAACCTGCAAAGGACAAGAAAATTCACCTCCTTTGCATATAACTGAGGGAGTGCCAGTACTTACCAATGGAATATCCCGAGCTTTCTCAATACGAACTATTTTAACTGTCTCCCCTCCATACACACCAACATTCTCGTAAATTTTTTCATCTGTCACAGGCTCTGGTTGCATTTCTTGTTCCGCAACCTTATCATGAGCCAGTAAAAGTGCCTAAAAAAAAAATACCAGCTCAGTTACAGAAAAGTTTCACACTTTGTATGTATACAAAATAGTAGAGTTCAATGAAATTCTGCAATTTGAATAGTGTCTTTGCAGGCTACAGAATATACCAAACTGACACAAGCAATGAAAAAAAAAAAAAAAAAAAAAAAAAAAAAAAAAAAAAAAAAAAAAAAAAAAAAAAAAAAGATAAATTACAGCTATGTAGCACCTACTGCTTTTCAAAATTTTCCTCTCAGATTGGAAAAGGAATAAAAAAAGCAATTCTGAACACACAACTGTGACTGTACTTGCAGCTTCTCCTTCCTAAAAAACTAGACGTTGGTTTACTATATATGTGACTGAGGATACAGACATAAGAAGTTACTGTGGTAAAAACTACTCATGGATTTACAACAAAATCCCCTTTATGCACCCTACAGAAAGCATGAAACAGCTGTCAAAGGGAAAAAAAAAAAAAAAGATAAACAAAGCAGCTCATGTGTTGCCCTGACCCTATGATCTAGTGCTATATTATGTGCTAATTACCCTGTAATACATATAGAACATAGCAAGGGCTCCATACAATCATGCACTACATTTAAAGTTTCCATTAGCTGCTGGAAATTGAAAACTACTCATCCTAGAAAAATATTAAGAGATCTGCACGAAGCTAAGAATAAAATTCATCCTTACTCAACCAGCCCAAGACATTTGAAAAAATAACCTGAAGTGAAAATAGCATCAATACATACATACTTTAGATTAGAAGTTTCATTTTGGTTTACCTGCATGTGAGGGGCATTCAGCAAAGCATTAAGCTCCTGTCCATCCTTATGGTGACTGGGTTTCAAAACAGTCTGTACCTAAAAAGAAATCAAGTAGTAAAACTCTAAATCTACCCTGTGATTTATCCATCCTTTCTCCCCTACCCTACTCAAGCACAAACTCCTAGTTGCAATTGTTCTTTTTACTGAAAGTACATCCACACAGTTGTTAAAATGGCTGATTGAACACAATGGTACACATTAGGCAGATATGCAGTGAGACCACAGGACTACTCCAGCATACCTTGCCTCAGTAATTATCTACCAGATCTAACCTGGTATCCAGTGTTTTACACAGATTTGTCAATACTAGAGACTCATCAGCTACCACAGAGATGCAGTCACAATGAAATCTATTATATGAATATGCCGGGTCTTTTAAAATAGACTAATTTCTCATTAGTGTGACTAGCGTCCCTTTTCCTTAAAGCAGATATTTTTACCCAAATTATTTCCACCAACAGCAAGACCGAAGATTCCAAGGCAGGTTTTCCAATGCATACTGGAGTACCTGCCTCAGAAAGCGTGTGCGTCAGAACTTCAAAAGGTCTGTGAAAACCAGATTTCTTTATCTGGTTCCAAAATAATTGTCATTAACGCAAGGACAGGTTTTGCTCAAGCAGCTTCAGTTGCCAAAAAAGGTCTGCCTTCTCATAGTTGCCAAACATGCCTTGCTATCATCTCTTGCAAATACTGGCATGCTTACAGAGAAAAAGTCAAGAGCAGGGAAGTCCCTCTTACCTAAAGGCAAGGCTGAAGATGATACTTCCCATAGCTATAATCCCCTGGCCTAATCTGACCAAAGTCACACAAGTCCAGAAGCACAAATGAATCCACAGACATCAAGAGTACGTTACAGACATCAAAGCAGCAGCTTTCAATGGGATACAAAACTTTTTTTTTCAAGAGCTTCTTACTCTTAAGGATGAGGTGATATGACATCAGGGAATCAAGACACCACAAGTTCCACAGTGAAAATATGTTTTTTGTGTGATCTAACAATATCTAAAGGTCTGAAGAGCCTCTATCCTAGGAGCAATTATCTACTGAAATGCTAACAACTCTCTCAAATGCTACCAGATGACAGTACTGAAAACAGTAAAGATAACTTTAAATTCTAGGAGAAGCCACTAAATGAACTGTTCCCAAGGAGCAAGATCCTTACAGTCCAACCAAACACTGCCACACGGAACAAGTTCCTGAGCTTAGCAATAAAACTGACACAACCTCCAAAAGCCCTCCTACTGACATCCCTAGGACATGCCTCATGATGAACAGATCTAGTATGGATTAAGAGTCAAACAAGAAGCGTGATTTAAGTAAGTTTTAAAACTGGATTCTTTAAAACTGTAGAGAACAGAAAGAAGACTGTTTCATAGAGGCCTGATTTCAGTCATACCTCTGAATCGGCCAGGAAGATATTATTCCCAGCTCAGCCTGAATTTTAGGATGCTATATATCATAGCAGGCAGGGCAGTGTAAAGGATATACTCACTAAATTTTCTTCTGTGTTGAAAGAAGAGATTCTGCTATACAAAAGACCTTCTTCTCATAGAGGTTTATTTAAGGTCTCTAACTTTCAAGGGACTTTAAATTCCTTTCTCGAAGAAGCCACAGAAGAAGCTTTAAAGCCTTATTTTATCCAATCTTTACACGGATAACCTACTAAAGCCTACTTAGAAAACAATTTACAAGTCCTGCAAGCAAGACAACCTTTTGAATGCAAGGTCAGAGGCTGGGGATTTGACAGGGGAAAAGAAACCAACCAGGCCCAGCCAGTCATTCTGTGTGTGGTGAATATCCTTTATTCAAGTTGAATTTCTGCTTTAAAAAATGTAATTATTCAAAACTTTAGTAGCTTCCCCTTCCCCTTTAAGAGAAAGATACATTTATTACTTATTTAATGAAGCACTAGGAAAGCTTCAGACTGCTGTATTCACTAAATATGTGGCAACAGTATTTTCTTAACTCTTCAGCCTAGTTTTTACTGTTAATTACATTAACTTTAGTTCAAGCAGCCCTCAAAAAAGCTACCAATTTGGTTTCATTATATGCACCACAATTTGGAGGGACATGCTGGAGTGATATTAAATATTGAGAATTTAACCACGTGCAAAATTCTGGTTTTGTTTATTCTCAGGTAAGCAGGACTACAGAGGGAATATGCATACAGATTCTAGTGCATTTATACCAGAAGTTACAAGCTTCCAGTGCATCCTCCCAAAAGTACTGATCTAGTTTAACTGCCTGCACTTGCTAAAGTGAACAGTAGCAAGTCTGAAACCTTTAGAAACACAGCCTATATATTGAGTCTATTAAGTATATTTAATAACAAGAACATCTTTAAGGTATTTGATGTGCTGTTAAAGGACAAAAATTACAAGCTGTCTTGAACGTTGCATCAAATAATCATCCTCCAATGTCAAGATTCAGACAATGTTCCCATAATTGTTGCCCCCATCCTGGTCAAGTTTAAATGGATTTAAAATCAATTTAATTACACTTGATGTTTACTGGCTATTTTTATTTAAGACTTAGAGTACACCATGTTACATGAAGATTAGTTCTCTAAAATAAGCTCAAGTGCTTCATTTCACCTTTTTAATTCAATTAAAGTTTCTTTTTAAAAAAAGAAGAAAAATCTTAAGTTGTTGGTGCCTGGTTATCGGATCAGTGAAAAAAACCTAACTGTACAAGTGTACTACTAATTTTAAGAATTTCCTAAAGAGGACTAGAAAATAAAAACATACCATTCCACTCATGTATTGTTAATGGTTAAACATTCAAAAATCAAAGAAGTTCTCACAACACACTATTCATACACATTGTTTTATAAAAGCAAACCATCAGTTAAAGAGTAAATGAAAACAGATTTGAATTTCTAAAAATGGTAATTCCCAACACACTTCCAAAAGTATAGTTTAATTAATTTCATATTAATTTTTACTTTTTAAGAAAGGATGTTTCATGTTGCAATATGAAATTGTGTTGCAAACTGTCTTTTCCTGTTAGAGCTACAGGAGCATGAGCTCTTGAACAGGTTCTCTTCCACACCAAAGTGGAAACTAAGAAAACATGTCTTCTGCTTTAAATTAGCACATGCACTCCAAACCAGTTTGAGGTTACACACTGTCACTGATGACCTGTGCACTAAAATATGCACATTAGCATTACCTGACATTTAAAATTAATGTTATGCATGTAATCTGTTATTTTTCTTCTTTGTAATGTCTTGTGGCTTTTGTCATCAAGATGTTATCAGCATCTTAAATCCAGGCTTTACAAGTGTCTTTTCAAAAACCCTGAAAACTAACTGCATTGTTTAGGGACGGAAAAAAGCAAGACACAACCAAAAATCAGTACAAGTACACCTGGGTATGCAAGATGGACACTTTGTCAGGATAAAAAGAAACCAAACAAAACCAAACCCAACTTTTCCTAAAACAGAAATCATTGCCTCCCATGCTGCTACCATAACAAATACAGAAGCCTTTCCAAAAAAAATAAAGGATCTTAAAAAACAGCATAAAATCTTCTATTCAGGCAAGACTAAGAAGTACAGAATTATGTGAATGAAGACGTCAAGGTGTTCCTCTTGAGACACTTCTGTTAGTCATAGAAATGTATGTCCTGATTTTCTGGCTTGATCATTTCAGGATGCTATTTAACATATTACAAAATACAAGTCATCTAGAGTTTTCCTAGGCATATTTTCTTCTCTGAAACTTCTATTAAGCAGCAAATAAAAAGACATCATATCCATGAAGGGGAAAACCATCTTTCTTAAGAGAAAAACCTGTAATATCCTATATTACAAAGGAAGATTCAAAAACTCTGGTTTGTATCTGAATGAAATCCAAAACTAGACCTGTGTGAAGTGGGTGTTTGGGAAGCAGTTTACAAACAGAAGTTAACTGAAAAGGTTCCTTCAGGCTCACATACATTGAAGAAGCTCAGTGGGGATCCTATAGCAGCATACAGGCTGAATAAGCCAGAGGGAAGCTCATATGTAAAATATTCCCATCAGGTTTTGGCACAGTCTTACTGACAAATCTAAACAGGAAAATCCTGAGCTACAGTTTAATCGACACACTGCACCTTTAGATAACATTTAAGTGATGTCCCTCAAGAATCAGTAATTTCTTCTGCAAAATAACTTCAAGCTTGCTACAGTGCTGTTTTCCTTGATTTACAAGATTAAAGTCTATTAAAACAAAGGAGAGTGGAAAGAGCTGTTGAAAAAAATTGCTTCAGGCAGAATGAAAACCAGACACTAGAAAAATAAAGAGACATCAGCTTGCTGCCATACTGAAATTGGAGTGATGTGCCTCTGAGCAATTGGAGAATGGCTATATCCTGGCTTGGGTATTCCAGCTGGTGCACCTGAGCCAGTTTTGAACAGCTATGTTTGGTTCACTGGGTGATAAATGCTGGAGCATATACCCAGCCTCTGGATCTGGCTTTGCTGAACACGACAGTGCTATGTCTGCACTGATACTGGTATTCAAGCTAAAGCTAACAAGTGTATATTCATATAAGGTGTAGTCACATTTCACTGCAATGTATACATCCACCAGGACATGGAAAATGAAAATAAACTTACTGATCAACCCCTCGGGTCTTAGCTGTATGGAGCCACTTGTGAAAACTCATTCTGCTTGCAGCAACTTTGTATCTGATCAGTTTTCTGCAAATTACTACTAATGCTTATAAAGCTATTGTAGACAGGTACTGCCTATCTATAGTCAAGTGAATAAGCCTCAAAGAAAGTAGTTAACCTAGCTGAAATTGTTTTCAAACAGTTAAGATCTGACTGAAAAGATTAAAGTTTAAAAAACATCTCACTCATTCTGATAGTACAATGATTTCTAAAAGTCATATCAGATCTTATAAAAGAGCTGTCATCTGTCAAGACAAAAATTAAGTCTAATCTGACCATCACAGCAGTAGTTAAAACATTGAAATTAAGTATTAAGGGATCTATTGCTCACTTTAAAGTAGAATGCTCGTTTCCAGTATGGTTGTATTTTCAGAGGCCTCCCAATTTAAGAACCATGGGTCAACTCAAAAGGAAAGTCACAATAGAGAACTGTATTTCAGTTCCTAAATGCCTGGAGTAAAGAATACTGAAGGTAAGAGTTAGATTTTTCTTAACTGCTTCCTCTTCCTGTGTTTAAACATAATACCTTTGCTGTTACGTATCTATCCGTGCTAAAAAGGAACTTCTTATCCCCAAAATATTTTTCTGGTTACTGTTTGGAAATCTGGAAAAACTGGATACAGTAATCAGTGACTATTATAGTCCCTTTCATATTCAACATCCAGTAACTCAGACAAGCTTGGCAAGTGTGTATTTCAACAACAGCTATGATTATAGGTTTCATACATATCACAGATGCATACCGTACATACCTCTTGTGCTAGTTCTTGTGCATTGGAGATGAGAGGATATGGAGGGCTGGCTTTGTTCATGTGCACTGTAACAGCATTGTGTATCTTAAATGCATTCTGAAAATCAGTATTTTGAACAAGCTGTAAAATGAGAGAGATATCCTCTTGGCTCTGAGGGTCTACCAAAATGTGCTGGATATGCTTAAGAGAAGTTAACAGTTCTTCCACTTCTAGGTAGGAAATAACAAAATACAAATAAAGTATGAGTTAATAAGATCCATAAATAAGTAATCTTTGTATTAAGATTTTTACCAACATTTTTTGCTATTCAGTTTTTAATCAGCAATGATGTATGCAAGCTTTATCATTATCCATTATTTTCTGACTTTTATCTATCTGAATCAAAAAAAGAAAAAAAGTACCCCAAGTCAGTAAAAGGAGGAATAAAAAAGCTGATACACTGTTTAAATTTAAATTCCCATTGCAGGAGCAGTTCTCCTTTGAGAGAAATCATCATTACATAAAAGATCCAGTAATTGCAGCTCAGGTATAGCTGCATGTGAAAGAGGGACTATTTTACAATATGAAAGTAACTCCTTTGCTAAACTAATCTTGATGCACTGAGTATTCACTTATTTTGATACATCTCTCCATGTATCTCAAATATTACAGAATGAGTGTTTTATAAGTAAACAACACTCAATTTCTAAACATAAATTATGCTCAGTTTTAGCACATTAAGATAAAAATGTAAGGATGAAAAGAATAGTATCTATGATTGGAGTTCTGAAAGTCACCAGAAGAAAGTCCACATCTTTTACCTACAAGTTTATGAGTTCTGCTTGGACCATAAAATATTTTAACATATTTTAATAACCAGTTTTCTACATGTCTGCAGAATACTATACATGCACCACATTCTTGAGCTCCAAGAATTAATCTGATACTTTAATGGGTGCCTTTAAAGACTGTCAACAAATTTACTTTTTTTAAACCAATCTGAATTTCTGCAAAGTATGTCACTGCTTAATATTAAATACTTGAGAAACTATCCAAAACAAGGAATATGAATCATACCTATAATATGTAGAAAACCAGGTAAGAAATCCTCAAGCAAACAAAAAAAAACCAGTGGATGTTCTGAGCATCAAATAATGTACACGTTCTCTCACACATTATCTGAAAAAAATCTGTTCAGCCACAAGAGGCTGGTCAGCTATCTTTATTTTAAGAAATTCAAGTAAGCTAGAATTTTGAATCCTGTTATTTTTTTAAAAAATTAAAAAACAAACTATCCCAATTTTTAAAACTGTCAGTTGATTCTGAGGTTAATCTCCCTTGCTGGTATCAAAGTATCAGCTTTGAGACTTATTTTTGGTTTTTGTTTATTTATATTTAGCAACCTTCATTTATTCATGATGAGCTAGTTAAATAACATTAAAACAGGAGTGCTATGAAGACATCAGCTAAACTGAAGTTTTAACATGAAAAATCACAGTAGATACTGATCATTAAACAAGGATATATTGTCAAGAAGCTTCCTTTACCTATTTTTAAACTTCAAATTCACCAGTACGCTGAACCCAATGCTAGACTCAAACTTGTTGAGCACAAGATTAAAATAAAATATGCATTTCTAACAAGTTTAATGGTTTTAATTTTGGACAAAGAATACCTACATATACATTTTTAGTTTTGAGTTTGCAAGTCAGTCTTCTGTATAACAAAGTTTTGGAAACAAGTAATCCAGAGTTACTACTCTTTACTGTCTGCAGGATAATAAAAAAAAAACCCACCAAAAAACCCAACCCCAAAACCATTCCACACATGCTAAAAACATCCTACCCACGAAAGGTCAAGGGCTTCTTCCTGTTACCACCAAGGAAACAAAGGGCAGCAGTACAAAAGCTGCACAGTGGCTGTGCAGGATATTCCACAGGTGAAATCCAGTACAGCTCACAACATTAATTAAGTCAGCCGTGTCTCACTAGGGAACTACATACACAGTATACTGCCTAACACACCGGGGGAAATGCCATTTGGAGACAAGGCTAAGAATACTACAAACAAAAATATTTGCTAAAGAGATGCTGTCAGCTGGCAAAATTCTTGTCTAGTGGGGTATGCAGACTACCAAAGCATCCAGCAACTGATTCTCTCAAGTCTGAGGACATGCAATATATTCAAGCATTAAAAAAAATAGTGTAAACCAGTCAGATGTTATTGCAAAGTTCCTACTGATACCTGCTCAGTTAAACACACCAACCCAAAACTCTGCCATTTGTTACTGTTTCTAGATTCAAAAACCAGTGAGGCATTAGAAGAGACTCACTTCTACCTCTGTCTATGTATAAACTGTTCTATTCCATTATTTCTAAATTGTCTACCCCCCCTTGATATATCTGAGAATTCAAACACACATAAGTACACATTTCATTCTAATACATATTTCATATAACATATAAATACATAAAGATAGACATCTTATTCCATATCTATAATCAAGATGTCCTGTTACTAGATGCCTTTACATATTCTTTCTTCAGTACTTTGCTAGTTACTTCTGTATTGCCCTTTCTTACAAACTACCAGAGTACTCTCCCTGTATAATTTCCTTCTACACTGAATCATCTGTGCTGGATGCAGAAGCCCTATACTAAATTATTTCCCCCCACGATGAAACAAGAAACAAATATCCCCCTTATCTCAATTCTAAAAGAGAAATAATGCTTGAAAGCAGTGAAACGAAGTATTCCCCAAAAGCTAACAATCCATTTCCTAGTCACTTGTTAATAAAAACCACATACACATAAAATCACACACAAATCTGTCTTTAGGCATGCCTAACTCTCTCTAGACTCCTGTTTCTGAATCCTAAATTACAGATTAGATTTCAGTGCAGTCTTTTTTTGTTTGGTTGGTTTTGGTCTTTTTTAAAAAAAAATAAATTCTAGGTAACAAAAGACTCCATCTCTAGAAGCTTCCTACTGAAAGGGTTGTCTTGAGGAAAAAAGTTCAGTAAAAGACTAACATCTATTTACTCACAGAAAAACATCAGGGTTCTTTTGCAGAACAAGTCCATGTTTTTAATCGCAGATCAATTAGCAATCAACTACTTTTTTTTTTAAAGTCTTCTTTTACAAGAAGTGTTGCAGCCTTTTTTCCATTAGGCTATGAAATGGCTGGAATGTGACTGAGCACTGTGCGATATACACATTAATCAAAAGACTGCCGAGGCAAAAGTATGCAGCTGCAGGGGAGGACCTGTGGTCACAGCTTAACATGTTAGATTAGAAAAAGAAAAGAAAATAGTTCCTGTTTATCACCTCAAAAAGTTAAGAACAGCAAATTTAAGAAGATATTGGCTTTATTATATGGCAGCACCAATATCTTAATTCCCAAGCTTTTTTATAGATCTCTAGAGTACTCTGTGTGCTGGTACCAGCACTCAAATGCTCCATATATTACTTCAATCACAGAACTAAGGAAAGTATTGTTTTATCCAAAACAATTTCTGAAAGTTTATTTATAAGTAAGTTTTGCCCAAGGGATAAAAGCAAAAATAGTCAGCTTTTTCCTTAAATAAAAAGTTTCACTGTAGCCACAAAAGGCTTACTTACATGAAATGTCACTCATTTAACTAAACTAACTAAATTAGCTGAACGAACCATAGCAAAGTTTTCTGCATTTTCTACAGGTATACTGCTGTGAAAAAGCCAGTTAAATACTTGTATGCACGTGTTCCAGGTACATAGTTATTTCCATTAAGACAGCTGACTAAATCATATACTGTTTTGATAACAAACATGCCCTTTAAAATGGTTTTGATTGTGTACTGTTTTATTTCTATAAATAAAATCCTTTTTTTTTAAGATGAAAAGATGAGAGACTTAGCAAAAGTCTGCCAAATCAGACATTGGCACTTACGAAATGTTTTCAAAAAAGGTCAATATTCTTATTTAAAACACCTATCTTTAGCAGAGCCTCAATGTATTAGCACACCAAAAAAAAGCAAAACTAAAATCAGTATTTAAAAAAACCCCAAACTGGATAAGGGTAGTTCAACATCTCTAATTTACTAGCACCTGCCCTGGTTTATTTGTGGTTCTCCTAACAAAACTTAAGAGATTTGTGAAAGTGACTAAGTACTCTCACCTGGACACCAAAAGTGGAAAGATGGAAAGAGTCAGTGTAGATCAGAAATTCAGCATAACCAGTGAAAAATTTCACATACTAGCAGTTATTTTCTGGACAAAGTCATGGGCTAACAAGTTTCTTGAGATACCAAGAAGTTTTATATATACACACATTTAAAAAAATCTGGCATCTCCAATTCAGATATGCAATGAAAAAGCAGAAGTATTAATGACAATGGACTCAAATCCTCCTTATGAAACTGTTATTTTGTAAGTGTGTGCCTGTGTGTATATACATATATCTATAAGGCAACTACCCTAGCCCTGACACTAATCAGTTACAGACAGCTTTTAGAATAGAAAAAATATTCTTCTTTTGAAATTCAGCATTATGTCAGATGTTAGAATGATTAATTCAGAAACTGGAAAAAAGACATGTTTAATTCTGGAGGAAATTTTGGAAGAGGCAAAATTACTCTAGAAGGATTTTGTTATATTTAAAATGATGACTTAGTTTTTGACACCATTAATGACTGAACAGAGATTCTTTATGGTCTAAGATATAAAAATAGTTTAAGAGATCACAGCATTTAATTTAGAACTTTTAAAGTTTGTAACAACTCAGCATCACAGCTGAGTATAATAGCACCACTCAACAGGAATGTTGAGCTACTATAAATCTTCTTATATCTTAAGTTTAACTCATCCAAATTGTTACTGTAATTCTGTCTGGCAAGGAAATAATATTGATAGTCATACAAACACACTACCATTATGTCATGACTTCTCCGATTGAAATAGATGCCTATGAAGCCATAATTCAGCTCCCTGCTGCATGTATGTATATATCGTGATTTAGTCTCATTACATCTTCTAAAGCTCCTTGCCTTTCTAGCTCATAGAACAGACCACATTCACTCTGCAAGTCAGTCAATACTTCGGCTCCCCACACATACTTTTAAGCCTTATTTATTGCAATGCAAAGTAGAGACAGACATAGTTAGTTTTCTGATTTTCATGGTATCCAAATACTGAGGGGAATAACATTAGTTAAATCATGCAATTTACCAATGAAATATGCTGACATGACAGTAGAACAATGACAACACCCTAACTTTGATTACAAAAGTGAAGAGGAGTTTGCCCTCCTGGACAAAATAATCTATAGTCATTTTCCTTCAAGATGCATCTTATACCATATTTTGCCTCTTTCCACATACACACCTCTATATTCTTGTCTCCAGTGTTTAGTTCTTTTCTTCTTACACCAAGTTTTCACCTAATTCTAGCTTCCATTCACACCAATTTTGCCCTGTCTCTTCTTGCTGAGAACACCCAGTTTCATTCCTTCCAGCTTTTCACAAATACTGTCTTTCTCTGACAATCTCTCAGCTTCTGCCACAGCCTGTACCTATTTTATCCCCATACTGAGATTTTTTCAAAACAGCCTTTCATCATCACAGTAATTTCTCCACCATTGTTTCTCCTGTTCAAACAGCTTTAGTCTACCACAGCTCCTTACTGGTTCTCAACCCTGTCGTTACTCATCTCATTCCTTCCTACCAGTTTCCATGCCTAGCTTTTTTGCCCATTGGTTTGCTTAGTCCTCCCTACAAGTTCTCAGCTTTTCTAGCACGAAACCTAGCCTCATCCTTCTAATTTCAAGTCATACTCTTTCCTCCCTTCTGTAGTTCCAATTTCCAATTCCTCCTGTAGTCAGTCTTCAGAGCTTTAGGCCACTGTAGCTAAGCAAGTCCCAGCAGAAGTCACTTCTACTGTTTGACATCAATCTTTGCATCTTCTGCTTTGTGTTCCCTCCAAGAAGAGAAGTTCAGGTAAGTATAGAATCTGCTTCTTACAAAGAGATCTCTGGGACAGGAGCTGACAAGCCCCACACTAAAACAAGGCCTTGTTCATAACTGACCCTGCTTTCAGCAGGAGGTTGGACAGGATGACTTCCTGGTGACCCTTTCAAACTAAATTCTCCTCAAGAGGGATTTGTATAACAAGGATAACCAGAGGTTATGGAATAGACACATGTCTTTACAGAAATGTTGCTCAGGCACACAAAAGATGAAGCAAAAAAACAATTAACAATTTGAAACCTATTTTTCACTGTGTGTTCCCAACTACCAGCCAAGAATCTTAGTGCTGCCAAAAAAAGGGCATCTTTTTAAAGCAGTCTGCATCTCAGAACAGGTATAGAACAAATAAATATATAAATATAAATATATAAATATATAAATATATAAATATATATATATATATATATATATAATTTGTTCATATATGTATTTGGAAATCTGAACTGGACTCCTGCAAATTCCCAATGCTTCTTTTTCACTCCAGTGACAAACCACATTTTAGATATAGAGATAATTGTATTTGTGGAAGAAAAGGTTAGAAACTTTATCTATATAAGCACAATTAAAGCAAGGACAGCTATGAAATGAACAATTTCAGAATCTTTCTTCAGCAATTACTAACACTATATTTTCATCAATGTCTAACTGCCAAGGTAACTAGATTTTCCACTATCAACACTAATACTTTAAAAGAAAATGTAAATTATATTAGGTGACAATTGATAAAGCCAAGACAGCCAGAATAAGTGACAACCATAAGCGTACTTCTCCTTAAAATCTTAACTCTTGTGTTTTGATTTTGAATGACAGTAAGTGTTTATTCACTGCTTATTCTCGTTTGTGCTTCATCAAACCTAATACAAAATTTGGTATTACTTGTATGGTTTTCCCCAGCCTAAAGAGGATAGACATCCACTGAACTCATTAGTCATCTATAGGATATTTAACTGTTACCCAAACAGGTCAGTTTTGAAAAGTCACTTTGAGGCACACAGCCTAACGCTTGACTAAATAAATAAAACAGACAACCACAAATCCAGAGGACCAGAAGACTTTAAATCTTGTAGGAAGAACTAGCTAAATTAGGTTTTCAGAGGCCTAAAAGAACATTAATATCAATTAAATATTTTCTCCACTAGCTCATTCATTGCTTTTTACCTACCTAGTGTCTTCACAGTACAATGAGGACTCTCCAAAACAATTCCTTCTTCTGTGTCAAATATTGGATTATCTATTCCAGTTTTAGGAGGAATTTGTGCTAGTTTCTTTAGCCTCATGGAAGCAGTAAGGTCCAGTTCTTGTTTCTTTCCCTCTTCTTCCCGCCTGCGCCTTATGTCCTCCTGCTGCTGCCGGATTCGCTCAAGCTGAGCGCTCCGCCGCATGGGCATCATCCTGGAGCCCAAATCCCCAGGGCAATCAACTGCCATTTCTCTGTGCTTCTGAGAGTCTTCAGGAGACGCAAGATCCACATTTTTTGCTTCACTGTCAGAATCTTCTGTGATATGCCCATTCATATGGGAAGTTGTCATGATTATTTGTAATTATGCTTATTCTCTTCAAACAAAAATGCTGCTATTAGGCCAGTTTTCGTTATGATGTTGCATAAAATCCATTATAACTTCAAAAATATTTCCCTTCCATCACAGGACAGTTTAAGAAACATCCAGGAAGAAAACCTGATGAAAGATATTCAACAGAAGTTAGTGAATAACTGCATTAATAAGAAAACACCTAAGATAGTTCTCCAGGCATCAGAACAATGGAACTTTTCCTCCACATTTACATAGCGCTGCTTCTCCTAAGAACTACAGAACCTTCACAAATCCGTTTCACATATTTTAGTAAACTTCAGATGCCAGTGTTAGAAAAGGAGCACTGTTCAAATTAATACTGAAGTCTGTTACATTTCCTAGTCAAAGAAGTGGAGATTCTACACTTAACACACACAATTGCAAATCAGCAGTTTTCTGAAAATTCCCACTCAGTTTTAATTTACCCCTTCATTCTTAAAAATCCCAGCACAAACCATGCTTATGATCCTACAAACACTAAATAAGAATAACTTGTTATAAACATGTTCAGAAGAATTTTACTAAGGTAAACACAAGTAACAATATTTACATTTATTGTTAATTGAGGCATTTTTATGTAAACGTTGTCTCCCAGGTTCAGAGAAGACAGGTCTGGCATAGAGTTCTTCCAAAAGATACTATCTAAAGCAGTCTGGAGCTGCACTTACACAATTCCAAGTAGGCATAAAGTCCTAGGATAAGGCTTGGACAGTTCTGGTTAGCAGCCAGTCTTAATACTTTCCTCTAGGTATCCATTAAAGCAGAAAGGATTAGATACAAGAGTAAAAATCCTTGTGTAGGTGTACAGAAGTACAGATTTGACAGAGAACAATAATTAAATTTCCACAGTCAATTAGTGACATTCCACTATAGTCTTTACATCTTAATCTGTTTTTTCATTCCTGATTATTCAGGCTAAAGAACTTAAGTGTCCTGATAAATATAACCGTGCAGCTCAAATATAATACATACAACAATGCGTTTTATAGGATATTGCCTTGCTGCATCACAATGCCAGTGACATGTTATCTTCAATATGTCCAATTAAAGTGTCATAAAATTAATAAATAGTTGTGTACAGTATTACCAATACACTTAATTTTTCAAGTTACTTTTTTTTTTAAATTCACTGAAAAGAAATGCTACAAAATATATCTCAAAGTTTTATTATACACTGAAAGTACCAAGACCAAAAAAACCCAAACCAACCAACTTTCTTAAACCAAATGTTTGTGCTTGGAGGAGGAAGGGAAAGATGCTTGCGTTGTAATTAAGTGGAAAATTAAATATCAATAGTACTGTTTTGGAGGAACAGCAATTGGAACTCCTACACAAGTTTCTGCCAGCTTGCAATTCTAAATAAGTACAGCTTTTAATCTTTATAAGGAGTACCATACAGCTCATACAGCAATACCAAAACAATTCTATTCCATTTTTTCCTGTCTAGCCACTGCTACCAGTTACTACTAAGATCTTTTAAGAAGTCTGTTAAAGCATTTCTATGATAGTAAAATTTTTTTGCCTTCAAAAGATACTTAATTGCACTGCACCAATACGTAAAAATTATTTCAATGCTCAATATTCCCACATTCAGAAAAAATACAGACAACAAAATAAACATCAAGAGCTGCACAGTAGTGGGGCTAGCACTGCAGGTACCGCACAATTATTTGGCGCCTGTAAAACTTTCAGCTAGTGCCCAACTTAAAAAGAGCAGCTTTTTGAAGAATAAAGTTGGCATTCAGACAGGGTTATATAAAGTAACATAGCAAAAAAAGGTCTCTGAAATTCAGAGAAAGGCAGGTAACAATTTAGAAAAACGATCCTCAGAAAGCCCCGTTTCCCCTTCTGTAAAGGCAATTTCACTATACAGAAATACCAGTCTCAAAAAATGGAAGTTTTACTGGGTACAATAAAATTGCAAAAAGCACTAATTTAACTGTGGGCGATAATTCAAATTCTCTTTCATCCACATTGTACTGGCCATAGCTTGTCTAAAGACTAAACCTTTTAAAAGTTACATTCATCTTTTTTCACCTCTGACAATCTGAAAGAAAACTCATATTCCTCAGTCCATATGGTACAACTAACAGGTGTCAAAACAATTTGGAGGAAGGAATAATATCCATTTACTCAACACTAAAGTCAAAACCACTATCTGAGGATATCCAAGTAAACTGCAACTTTAAAAATACCATCATAACACTCAATCACATGTAAGCTACATGATGTCACACTCACTAAAGAATCTACACATCAGAAAATGAAGTTGATGGCCAATATTTAATAACTGATCAAAAATATTTAAGGTGGAATTATCTTTATTTCCTCTGTCAAATGTAAAAGTACTAGCTACTTAAGACAAAGAGTATCTTTTGAGGTTGTCAGAAAAAGGGCACAGCAAAATCTCACGTTATCTGTATATAGAATGAGAAGGTTTTAAATCTCTTTAGTAATAAGCACTGAAGACCAGAGAAACAAAAATATAGTCTGAGGTAAATATTACTAATAGGCAACCTTTAGCAACATTGCTTACATTATCAGTATAAGGTCCATGCAAGATGCAAAGGGCATATACATTCTTGGAGCAGAGTAACCAAGACATTTAAGTGACCTGTGCTAACAGCCGCTCACTTTCAGTATTTAAGATCTGAAGTAAGTCAGTTAAGAGGAAACAAAGAAAAGTTACAGAAAACTCTGTAGTTCTCCTGCAGTCACACTTTAACAGCAATATTCATTAAACTGGTATCAAAATTTAAGAGAGTTTTAGGAGCATTTAAAATAGAAAGTATTTTTGATATCCCAGAAAGTTAGATGTGTCTGAAGCAAGCAATAAACAGTACATGCAAAGTAATCAAACTCAGACAATACAAAAGATAATATGAAATATCACTTATCAGGCAGCCTAAAGTTTGACATTACCAAAATATCAAACCAAGTCCATAAAAACCTGATCCCCCCAGATATAACTCGTTGGTAATCCATAAAAGCACAGGCACGCTGCACGTCTGGAATGCTCAAAGAACTTCCTTTAATCAAGGAACTTCCGATAATGGATAACTCCTTCCAAACCTAAGCCCACTGTTCCTTCTGATGTCTCAAGTCTGCTTCAGACATCACAAATCTTAATCTTCAACAGTTTTGGAGAAATGGTACTGCCCAATTGCAACAAATAAAATAAGCACATAAGGAAAAAGTCAGATAAGCTCTGAAGTCCCTCTCTACAATGGTCCTAAGGAATTTAAAATGTAAAATATGACACTGATAAAATGTTAACTTGGTCCTCAAATTAAGGTGTGGTGTAGCTGAGGTTAAAATAAGATTCACCTTGAAGCAGGCACCAGGAACAGAAAATTTTATTCTAACCAATAAGTATGGCATCAAAAGTCTTATGATGAGCAATTTCAGAAACAGTTTTCTTGACTTTTCTTTCTGAAGGTTTCTTTTGCAATTTAAAAAAATCCCAATATAATAACAATAAGGGAAGGTGGTTCTCTGCAAGTTGTGGATCATCCAATAAACCAGCTTTTCAGCCCGAGAGAAGCTTATTTTGTTACACTAATTCTTATACTAACGAGGAAAATTTACTCAAACATACTCAATGATTTTTACTACATCATATATAAAATAGAGTAATATTTATAATTAACAGAATTCTTTTCCACTTTAGAACTTGGTATTAGCAGTTTTTATACTTTTTTAATATGTAAAAGTCTCTATGTTACACAGAGTCTGATTACTCAAAGTACAATAGGGTTAAATTGTGGCTTTGTCTTCTTTTGAACTACTGGTATCTAACAGAGGAACCTCAGCACTTCCACATGATACATAGATCTTTCCAAATAAAACAGATTTATGACTGTTTTCTGTCTAACTTCATATCACAAGTCTTACCAAAATAGTCCTGGAAAGCACATGTGAAAGTCTCTTCTTCACAGAATACTTTTACTGTTCAAATTTTTGCCCTACAGAGGAGGGTTTGTATAAACAGCTAACATAAGTACAGCTATTAAGAAAGAGCATTTCAGTCACTCAGGTCACCATCAGGCACCACACAAGAATTTCACTCTGAAGTAATTATGAGCAGCAAACAAATATTTCTGGTGCAAGTTCAAAACAGCAAAATTAAAGAAAAACACACAACTACTGTCTTGCTAACTATACTTACTGTTCTCAGAAATACTGTGTTTTACAAGCCACACATCATTCTTCATACTGACCCCTAACAATGTCAGGGTTCTATTATCTCTTTAACCACCCTGAAAACACTAAACAAAGCACAGACCACCAAAGCTCTGTCAAGGAATAAACATACATAAATGCAATCATCTTAGTTTATAAGACAGATGCTATTATAAAATAGATATAGACAGGTACAGAAACAGAAGTGCTTAAGGTGGTTTAAGTTTTCACTTGCTTCCTGGGGACTGTGGCTGGTGTGCATAGCAATCCTAATTGCTTCAACAACTAAATTCTGTAGACTAAAATTAAATCTGTTTTGCTTCAGCAACTTCCAAAGAGCAAAAATGACATTTTCTGGAGGCTGAGGTTTTGTGTTACATTTTGATGGTGTTAAAAATTTCTTTCAATGCTAGAAGTATGATTAGACTTGATAGTTCCCTTTTTAAAATTCATTACAGCTCTAAATTCTGAATGACTGCAAGGGAGTTCAGCACTCACCTCCAACTGAATTTCATTAGTTTTGGCACAGCTGAAAGTATGAAAGTCCAACTTACATCTGTAGTTTTATCATAAACACAAGAAATGCATATTTAACATTAGGCACAGTGCAAAGGTTTTATCAGCTGAAAGCCATATATTATGACAGTATATTAAAATATTCATTAAAAACAACTGGAAGATGAATTCTAGGTTGAAGTGAATTAAAAGTTAGATTAAAATCACATACAAGATGCTTCCTGATATCTGAATTACTAACAAAATATGAGCATAAAATTATGCTAGAGATCTCTACCATGTATTATTAATGGCTCACAAGTGGTGAGTCTTCTGGTATATTTTTACTCAGTATTTCAGATTTCTAAGCAAGCAAAACCTAAGTCATAAAAATCGGAAGATAAAACACTTTAGTAATTCCACAAATGGAAGTTTGGTGTAGGGAAAAAAAAATTCCCAGCTCTTATCTCCCAAGCATCATTTATTTCTTCAGCAGAATCTTGCAAGTTCACTGAAATAAAGATACTTGGAAGCCAATTACATAAAGGAAAACACAAACCATGCTGCACAGCATAAAATTAACCACTACTTGATGGGAGCTAAAGATTGGAGTTTATGGTAGATAATACTTCACAGATATCTCCTATGGAGGTTAATAGTACCTGAAATACCCAGTACAGACTGTAACATCCTAATGTTTTTCAAAAGCAAGTTAGAAAACATATGACACCTTGATCCTATTTTTCTAAATTAAAAATAATCTGTAATAGAAAAAAGAATTTTTTAGCTTTGTAATACACTCAAGACTAACTTCTTGTATGGTTTGCTTGGGTTTTTTAATTCTGCAATACTTGACATTATTTCCTCTAATTAGACGCTCTAGCACAGTCTTGATATTGAAAGAAAACCTTTTAATATCCACTTGACTTATTTTTAATAATTTCAGAACAGAGTTCATTATAAAACCTGTCAAGCAAAGTAACTCAGTTCAACACGTGTATTTCAAAGGGCTTTCATACATGCCAAGAGGTTTTAACATTCCATGCTCACTTAAATGTTCAAGACATGGTTCAAAAGCAAAAAGGACTCAGCCCTCAAAAGGAAAGTAATTTTCATTGTTACTGTTTTCTAAGTTACATTTGTACAAGAGCAGTAACAACGTTAACTGGCAACCTTAAAGCACAGAGAAACCAATGAAACTGAAAATTCAGATGCTAAGGTTAGATTACAATTTTATAAATTGCATAAACAAATTGCTTATCATGCAAACACAGGAAAATGTAAGCACATTTTTGAATCACATTGGTATTACACTTAAGAACTGTGGTCTATTTAATACACATTTAATTTTATTAGGCTTGTTTATCTGTCGATGCAGTGGCAACAATCAAACCAGTCACAGCTCAAGAACTGGCCAGTCTACACTATCCACTTCAAAATGGGGGCTACTACCTACAGAATAGATAAGAACAAAGTGATTTCCATGAAAAACACGGACCAACGCAAGAGTATATCATGTCAATCAACAGCCACATCACTCTCACCAATCTGTAGTAAATATATACGCAAAAGTACCTTTGCAGTAAAATATATGCAAGATACCTTTGCAATTTTTATGCACAAAATAAATGAAATTAGGACAGAGTATATATCACAATTTCACTGTGTATTTGTTCATGACAAACAAGAGTGGATTTTAATCTGTTTCACTGCAGAAGCATAAACTGCTTTCTAAGGTACATCCAAAGATTGTTTGTATAAATATTCAATGTCACACAACATTCTTCTTGCTTCAGTCACTTGTAACTTTTAGTCACATCAGACTATTAGATATATTTCTAAAAGAGACCATGTTTAATTTAATTACCCAGTGTGACAGACAATGGAGTATGAATAAACAATTCTTGCTGCCTCAAAATTAAAGTAGAAATGCAAGATTTGTAATTGTTATCACTAATCAAAGCACTCCTCTTCATTGCCGAATGTCCATAGTAGTAGCTGGTCACTCATTTGGCCCAGGGAGGTGATGTCCCCTCCCGCTCCAGCTCCCCTGGTGCCAGGACTCCCTGGGGCAGCAGCTGCAGCCCCCCATTTGCCGGCCTCGGCCTTCCCCCCGGGACAGAAGTACTGTCGATTCTCATGCAGCCACAGCTTTGTCCGGTCGGGCTGCACTCAGGCCGCGAGCCACAGGACTTACATCACAGGCCAGCCATGCGACACGCTCCCTGCCTCGCTCTGCTGCTGCTCCCCCGATTGCGAGACCGTGGCAGCCCGTCTTCCAACCCTGTTTGTTGGAAATAGAGACAATTACTCAAACACAGAGGAAAAAAAACACTTTTTGCAAGTTCTATTAAGCTCAGTCAGCAGATGGCTAAAACCTCTCCATGTGCAGCAGTGGTGAACTTCAACTTGCAGCCATCACTAGAAAGCACATAGCCCCAGTGATTCAGGTGAGTGAAATCAATTTAAGAGATACATAGGATACACCACAGTAGATTACTTCTGATAATCTAGCTCTTTCAGGTCTAAAGAAAGTAATGCCCTTAGATTAAGCACAATCTAAGCTTTAAGAAATTGAACAGGCTGGTTTTTATAAAAGAAATAACACAGCAGTCATATGAAGAAGGAGGAACACTTAAATCTTATTTAAATTCTTACCAATCTGTGAAAAACACACATTGCATGCTCTATTAGCAGCAATCTTACTTGATTAGTATATCAATAGTGAGCTCCTTTAATCAATTAGAAGTGATAGCACAGGTCAAAGCAGAACCACTGCAAAGGAAGCTTTCTTTAGTCTTAACAAATCTGATTTCCACTGCAGTATAAATGCTTTTTTTCTCGGTTACACAAAGAATTCAAGTGCTTCAATAGTTGACCGAGATTAAAAACAACTGTTCAAAACACTAGGGATAAACATATGCCACAATTCCCTTTGTTGTAAATATACACTACCAGTTACCCATTACCATTGTTTAATTTCTACTTTTTAGACCAAATGAAAAATGGACATAAAGTTTCAGCAGGGGTGACTACAAATACTGGGGAGAGGGAATGACAACAGAAACAAATCAGAGTAGGTTTCAAGAAGCCTACTGCTAAAAATCACATCTAGATAGAATATTAAGACTTTTATCAAGCTCATTTAAGCATATTTTTAAACTGAATAACTGTATTTAACTTTTGTTTATATTTTGCCATCTGTATCATCAATAGAACTCTGACATAGTTTAATGTCTTTTGAACATTTATGAGCAACTCCTAGTGCTGACAAGACCTAAATTCTACTTTAGGTGAAGAGCACAGCACAGCAGAGGGCAGTCTCTACACCAATTAATGAAAACCTGAAAAAAATAAATACACTCAGTTTCAAAAAGTAGATCACCAAAACAACCAATACTACAGCTCCTTAAATGGTCTGACACCCACATTGCCCCACACCAGCACAGAGATTTACTACCCGAGCATCCCACTATAGCTTAGATTAATAGGCTGCAACTATGCATACATTTAAATACCCAGACCTAATCAAGTCTTTTAGTACCAACAATCCCTGCTCGACAAAACATTTTATACATCAATATGAGTGGATAACATGGATGTCTACAGGCTGCAATGAAAAGATGATAGAAACACTGAAAGAAAAAAAGAATTATCTTAATTTAGCAGTTATTCCAAACGTTAGAAACATTCAAGCATAACGAATGAGGAGTAAAGAAATTCCTCGAATTCCAGGGCACATTAACAGATCTCACAGGACAGTCAGAAGCATGATAACGAGACAGTCATTTCTTATCACCTATTCACAGACAGTTAAGACTTCAGATTTCATTGTTTTAAAAGTAAACATGCCTGTCCTTGTTTTAAACAGTGGTCATATTCTCTGTGAAATTAAAAATACTGCTACTATTTTAGTTCTCTAGTAAGATTCCCCCACCCCCTTCAAATTGTATCCTTTTTGGCTTGGGCTCTTGCACCACTTTTATCCCTGTATTTTTTAGCATGTTATTTTTAATGTTAATGCTTGCCACTGCTTTGCTATGTTTTACACAGTATTAATAGTAAACGTTCATGATTCCTAATATGTAAATGACACTTTCACTTCAGAGATGTAATTGAACCAAAACTGTACTAATTCCAAATTAAATTTAGATTTAAACATGGTGTTCCATCTGACATTGAAATTCATGCAAAATGGCATTAGTTTAGTCCTTCATAGCAAGTTGTTCTTAAGCCACATTTACAATCTTCTGGGAAAAAAAAAATTAATCTTCCTTACGTTTTAATATTCCAACAACTGGTGAATCTGATAATCACATTTTGAAACATCATCTAAACTAAAGGGGAAGACAGACATTCCTCACAGGCCTTCACCCCAAAATGCTGAAATTTTAGCTACTTAATTCAACAGTCTAAGGCTAGATAGAGGGACCAAGACTGCCTTTCAACTTTGTATGATTAATCCATAGGTTTTGTACGTTCAAAAAAGCAAAGTCTCACAACATTATGTAACAAAGATATACGTGCTAGCCTCTTTTCTGTGGCCTTCCTCCTTGGGCCCTATTTTAAACTCTTTTTTTCAATATTAACTGAATGGGTAACAGCAATGCAATTTCTCATTTTGTAAAAAATTGTCCTTAATGATTTAACCTGATTAGCTCTGTCAATGTATTTATTACCCACAGGTATGGGGTGGGGGGAAGGGGTAAGGATCTTCTGACTTTTTTTATGATGACAGAAATGAATTGAGACTTTTGAAGATTGAGATTCTGAAATATAGAACATAAACCGAAAAACTGTATGACTGATGATCTCTGCACTTCACAGAATTAATGGTCACATATGCACCAAACTCAGAAGCACATTTCATTTGAGTCCTTCTCTAGTTAGTTATAGGGGGAAGAGCCACAAACTATTTTGGATACTCGGGTCTCAGATGTCACAAGGTTTTCATTCCTGAACTCATTTGAGATTGCACTAACCATTCCACAATCCCTAAAAACCTGCTGCATAAATTTCAGAAGTTTCCTTCTGAAGGATTTTCACTTCATGAGCACAATTTCCTGAGGTTTTCTAATTAACATCACCACTACTTGCTTCTTCTGGAAGACACTGTAAGCAAGGCATACCAGCCATGCAGAGCATATCAGGTTGTTTTTTTTTTTTATGATACCCATTTCAGTATTACTACTATGCTGAGATGTCCTGTTAGACAAAGACAACAGAAGCCCTTGCTACTATGAGAAGAAACCATCCTCAACCAGGATGAATGCAGTGAATAGCTATGGAGAATATATCCCCAAAGAAATACTTGGTCAGAGTTGCACTTTGCACAGAAGAACTTTGCTCAACTGAATCCATGTACATGAAATCTGCTGGAATGTTTCTCACTCCTGAAATGATGAAGGCAAGTAGCAAACTCAATTTTGCAGACTGACACAACTGTTCAGAATCTGCAAAATGCTGTAGTTTCTTTATACTGTATCAGTCATATTACTTAATATTTGCAGAACATTTCACTAATTTCTTCAGGGAAATCACGTAATTCATGTTTGTGCACAGCTAACTCCCCAACTGCTAGCACAGAATAAAGCTGACTAGGCTTTCAAGTGTGCCCTACTTTCAGATCCTGCCAAACAGAGATCCCATAGTTCATGCATTTATGACAATAACCAGAAAAGAAGCTGACTGTCAGTATGATTCCTGAGACTGTTAAACTAGGCTAGTTTGCTGCTCCTGGAGACTGCAGTCTCATAACTCTTTCTCTTGACTGCTCCCTTACCATCTCCACTTTTGGGTTGTACAGCCAATACCTTCTCTGATAGCTTTGAAGCTTGTCAAATTGCTCTGTAAAAGACCTTAATTCAGTAAGACTGTAGAATGTTATAATATATTCTTGTTTGTTTGTTAAGTGACATGTTAGAACAGCTCACAGTAATCTGAAAGGTAACAGGACATACACAAGGGGCAGGAGCAAGTGGCTGAAACAAGGGAGGTAGAGAGGTGAGGACAGAGACAATCAGAAACAGCCCCTGTCTGCAGTAGAGAGCCAATTTCAATGGAACCTCATCTCATGGAACCATATTCTATGATTTCATCCACTTCCTCGAAGGAAAAAAAAAAAAAAAATCTCATCAACAGCTACTGATTTTGAAAGAGCTTTTCATCCTAAAAACCCCAAGTAAAACCCACAAAAAAAACCCCCACACCACAAAAAAAGCAACCACATGCATCTGTTCATGATGATGTAAACAGGACAGTTAAAGAACCTACTGGTTTCTCTTAAAAGGCAAAAACTGAGACACTGTGGGTGTAAAGGGCCAAAAAAGTTTCATTTATATTTACGTATATTTCCTCCCAAACAAAAATGGTAAATTTAACATGCATGTCTTGAGAGCATTATTGAAGGAGGCCCTACTGAAAAGCCTGAACATCTCTGCACATTCACTACTTGAAGACACTCGAGTAGTATTCTCAACCTATTACCTTTGTGTAAATAGTATAAACATACTAGACAAGAATCCAAGACATGGAAACAAAGTGTTTGTTTGTTTGTTTTTTACAGTGGACAGCAATAATAGAGATAAATCTTAGTTTTCTGAGTGTTTGCAGAAGGCATAAAATAGTACACCTACTGGTCAAATACTAATGGAAATAAAAGTACTAGTACCTCAGGCATACATATACCTATACAATGGAATTCACAATCAGGTAACCACTTGGAAATGGACAAAAGTTACAAATCACCCTTACTTCAATCCTTTCCAGTATTTATCCCAAAGATCTGTTAAACTTATGGGAACAATGCCAACCATGACTAAAGAACTCATGCTGATTCCTTGGTCATACTACAAGGCAAGACTGCTGAACAAACTTATACAATCTAGTAACTTAAACGACAGGTCATGAGGAAAACCTGGAGAATAATACGTAAAGTATTACCAAAATTTCACTATAGGATGTGAAAATCAAATGTTTTGTAAATAACCTACATTAGACTTCATAATAAAAGCACATGAGAAAGCTTCACAAAGCCTATAAAGACATAACATTAGAGACTTTCTGTACCTTATGAAAACAGTCTCTTTCTTTCTCTCCTATTAAATGTAAGTGGACTCTTGGGCCTAATGTTAGCAATCACTTATACAAATTAAGATAAAGCCCTGACAGGAACATAGTCACTTCTGCAAACTGAATTCAAGAATATAAGCACTGTGGCTGCAGAGCTCTTTCACAGTTCAACTCTTTAGCTAAATCAAAAAAAGTACATTCAGTTTCTGAAAC